TTATTATTATCATTATATTACCTGTAACATCTCTGTAACAGGTTCTTTGTGTGAAATGAACTTCTCACCTTTGCCTTTCTTTCTTAGAACTGAACAAATTTACTTTTTAAAAATTGGGGAAATTCTGGATATAAAATCAATCTCATATTAAAATCTTATCAAAAAAGTGAAATCTGTTTTTTGTATTCTTCTAGGCTTAAAGGTCACTTAACGCCCCTTTTCTATAGGAACGATTTGATACTTAAGATGTTGTTTTTAACAAATCCCTATGTACATGACGCAGTATCAATTTCCCCCAATCTTGTATCTGCTATATACTAGTCTACAAGTTATTGAATAAGTAGTTTTCCATAAACTATCTTTATTACGCAGTTTTAAAGATCAAGTTTAGAAAAATGTTTATATTATGAAGCATGTGCATAAACTCAGATACAGTAGGTTTCATAATATTTCTTAGAAAGATGTTGAACAATCATGGTTTTCTGAATGCAATTGCATGACGAGTTGGTCTACATTAATCTCAATTTAATCTTGCTATCCTGTACTATTCTGTTTTGAACATAAATTCTATTTTTTCCTGTTCAGTTTCGTACTATTGTAATGTAACCTTATATCTGTATACCTGAACTACGTACGTTGTACATTATTAATTATCTAAGTTTGTAAATAGCTATGTAAAAACTATATCATAATGTATCTGAACTGCGCTTTACATAATTATGTAACATGATTATCTTAACTACGATGTGTATAACTACATAAGACCTGTAGCTTAATTGAGTTTGTAAATAATGACGTAAAACTTGTAACTATGTTTATTAACTTAACTTGTAACATAGAACCCAAAATACATTCAGTTGGAATAATACTCCACTTTGATTACAGTGTGAGAGTAGAAAATAAGAAGCGTCCTGAATATCACCTTCTTGAAAGATAGATATAGATTGGAAATTACGTTGAGTTGAGTTAGACCTGGAAAGATTCAGTTTTAAATGCGTTAATAGGAGTAGGGCATTTACTACACTATTCTATTTGTAATAAACTGTTGCATACTATCCTATTTTGTACTATTCTGTTTTGTACTATTCTGTTTTGTACTATTCTGTTTTGTACTATTCTGTTTTGTACTATTCTGTTTTGTACTATTCTGTTTTGTACTATTCTGTTTTAAACTATTCTGTTTTGTACTATTCTGTTTTGTATTAAGCTCTATTTGCCCAGAAGTAAACTTTTAATAAATCAGATTTCACAGATTTGAAAGTGCTAAGAGGAGTATCGAACACGAGCACAGTTGAAATGCTTTGCATAGATTTAAACCTTCAAGAATTAAAAGGATATTGAGCGCTCCACGGTTTCTAAATCCATGATCTAAAGATGTAGTACTCCTGCTCTGAGCAGATTTAAACCTTCAAGGTCACTTTTATTTAGAGATATTAACGGTATCTATAATATAGGATACTCAGACTGAGACTGTCCAATCTTGCCTTCATTGGACTTTTTACACGCACGAATATATCATGCTCCATGTTTAGCGGCGGAAAATGTAAATTTTGAGATCATTTATACACACTTCTATCTAAGGGCCTGGCCCAATCCCCTCAAAATTGATTATTTTCGATTAAGGTTTCCCATGACAGTGGTTTGCGAACTTATACTACATAAATAATGGAGAAAATGTCAAAATTAAACTCTTTTTAAGTTTCTTTTACAACAATATTTTTCACTTTATCAATCAGATAAACTGAAACTTGAAATAAAAACAAAACTCATTTTGCGTTCTTTCATGTGCAGCTTACAAAATAATAATAAAATCAATTTTTCTGATCAAGCAAAGATATATTTTCTAACTTATTTTCATAAGTTTATTAAATCATATACGGTTTCCCACATCAAATAAGACCACGTCAATGGGTCTAAATTACGATTTGGGGGACAAATCAGAAAATTTAAGAAGAATGATTCATTTTGACAAATTTAATAAGGCTATTAGAATTTTTTTTGGCAGAAAATGCTATATTTTTTCGAGTATTATATGCGTATTTTGGCGCTAGAGATTGGAGATAATCTAACATCATATGGAACGCTCTGTATAATGTTGGTCTTGAATGCTGACTCCGCAAGAAACATGAAGAATTTGAGCTGTTTTTATTGTCAAGTTTAAATCAGTAAGGCTGTATTGTCATCATTTCCGCAAAACTAATGCAAAACTAAAAATGTTGCGATTTAGAAATTGAAACATTTACAATGTATTTTAGCGGGGATAAGGAAAAGGATATGTTTTTATTATTTTCGAAGTTTTCTTGCATGGATTGAACAAAATTTTTTTGATGGAACATTTAGAATTTTTTGTTAGAAAATAATAAATCATATCTTTCACAAAACAAAATCATCAAGTCTAGTTATTTTAGAAATTACGGTCCATACTTACAAGATAGTTCATCGAAAAAAGATGCAAAGGTTCCAGATAATTTACCAAAGACATTTTCTTAAGAGCGACTTCCCAAGTGACAATTTCCCAAGTTGCAACTTCCCAAATGTACATCTTCCCAAGCGGCAACTTCCCAAAGGCTAGGTTAGGCCTTCTGAGGCGCCGCAGGCTACAAAGGGGCCGAACGCTGCAGCTAGGATGGGCAAGGGGGCCAAACGCTGCGGCTAGGACAGACTTGGGAAGTTGCCGCCCTCAGAAATTGAACATTTGGGAAATTACCATTTGGAAAAATACCCTAGGGCAGTTGCCGCTTGGGAAATTTTTTTTCTAGCAAAGTACCTAACATCCAAATTTTACCTATAAGACCAGCTGTAAGAAGACTGACCCCAGCAACTGTGCCAGCTAGAAGACCGGTCAGCAGAGCCATTCCAAATACACTGTCATAAAAAATAGTTTTCATTCCAGATACACTGTAATTCATAAACAGTTTTCATTCCAGATAAAACTTTATATCAAAAAATAATTTTTAATCTAGATACACTAAAATGAATAAGTGGTTTTTTTTGCCAGATACACTGTAATGAGTAAGCAGTTTCAATCCAGATACACTGTAAAAAAGAATAGTTTTCATTCTATATACACTTTAAATAATAATAGCTGTTTTCATTCCAGACACACTACAATGAATAAATAGTTTCATTCCAGATAAACTGAAATAAAGAAATAGTTTTCATTCGATATACTCTGTAATAAACAAATAGTGGGCATTCCAGGTACACTGTAATAAATAAATAGTGTTCATTTCAGGTACACTGTAATAAATAAATAGTTTTCGTTCCAGTTTCACTATTGTGAATAAATAAAAACCTCTTTTAATAAAAACATTAATTGAAAGGTTTAGATTCATATTTGAAAGATAATTTATTTGCAGTAAAAACCAGAAAGTCTGGAATAAGAAGATATCTTTTAAACTCTAGTTCACGTGGATTTAACGGTTCTGTTAATATTCCAGAAAGCTGTGACTTTCGATCACAATTTTGCTATTAAACATAATTTTTAAGCCTTTTTCATAAAATACTTTTTTGCTGGCAAATACATTTTGAATGAAAAGTCTAAAACAAACAAAACCGTAAGTTTAAAGATTGTTTGATTATAGACCAAAGCGCGTGAGATTTTAAAAAGAAGAAACCAAATGCTTCTAACTCTGGTTAGTCCAGGGTGAGTTATGACTTTAAATATTCCAATGAACATGAAACACAGAAATTGTACAGTGTACACTGTACAATTACATAGACCCATTTCGCTTAATCAATGAATTTTTATATTACCAGTAAACCTATTTGCTTTGTAAGAATATTAAGTATAAACACTAAAACATTTCTTTAATGTCGTCGTCCATTTAACAGTTTTCTGGTTTTTACTGTATTTAAGGATAAAATTCAATTAAATAAAATTAATAAAGATATTTTTGTTGTCTCTTGACTATTTTGGATTTCAGAACTTGTTTTAGATAAAATTGTTTTAAAATTTTTGGAAACATTAAATCTATTTCCGTATAATATGGCAGATAGTTATTAATTTTACATTTCTGCAGTGAACTCTAAAATCTTGTAAATCCTAAAATGACATGTTTATACGCTACTGCATGAAATTGCATCGCAGCCCTACTCAAGCCATTCGACACATGCATACTACATGAATAATAAACTTTAATCAAATTCAGGGAGGATGAGATTTTACAAAGAATCGTTCGATGTTCGATTAAACAATAGTCCTAACATATATTTAGAATCTCATTATTTGAAGAGACCTGAATCTACCCTATACAACAGATTTTATAAAGGTCAGCGCGGACATCTTTGCAGTATAAACACAAAACTAATTTTTCAATTTAGATAATGGGTTAAATTGCACGACTTTACGCTCTTATAATTGCGCCTTCAGCTTTTTTGTTGAACTTTTTTTAAATTCAAAATTGTTTTAAAGAAGAACTGAGTTTTGCCAATTTTACAGATTTTGTTTTATTTGTAAGTCGATGTCGCACACCATAGATATTTCGAACTAAAAAGTTTATGAGATCATCAAGTCTGAAATATTAAAGGTTTACACTATCATGGGTTGCAATGATTTAAGCTATAGAAAAGTTGAGATTGTGTTAAGAATTTTTAAGTTTTTCCTTTTGTTCAAGCAATGTAAAAACTTTCAACTCAAGTATAGGTTTAGATGGAGGGGGGGTTAATGTCGCCCCCCCTGTTTATTTACCTCCTTAGGATATCATTATGCATTGTACCCATAGAGAATAGAATATATAGAGAGAAATTAAAAGAATCTCTCGGTATGAATTTTTTCAGTCCCTTTCAGTCTGAAAGGGAGTTCAAAGTGTACAAATCATGTAAATGTTCAAAAATTATGTGCAGTAGAGTAAGAAAAGAAGGGAAAAAATGAAAGAAAAAAGGAAAAAAGGGGAGAAAATAAGCATAAAATCTTATTTTTGTTTCCAATATCATGTTAAATAGAATTATTTTTTTTCTTCAATTTAAAGTAAAATTGAAGTTTTTTTCTAAAATAAATTGTTTGGGAAGTTTTACTGTTATCCTGTCTTGAGAATTGATAGGGCTTAAATATTTTTTTTTTGTATTTTGAGAAGCTTATTTTTTTGGCTTCTTTTATTAGATTAATGATTCTAATGAACAATCTTACTGCCAAAAGTAAAAAAATTGGATACAAATTAAATTATATTCAAAATATGGCCAAGTTTTGGAGAAGCTGTTTGTACGAGGTCGTATTAACCGACCTAGATGATTCTAACCTAAATGTTTTCTGACCTTATTATAGAGTAGTTTGCACGTGTTTTTGGTCGCTTTGGTTAAAATAAGCGTTAGGTCTGTTTGGCATCCTTTTAGAAATATATAGTTTTAACGACCTAGGATTTTGAGACATATTTAGGTTGGTTAAGCTTATATTTCAGGTCATTTTATACCAGGAAGTTTTTAAGTTGGGTTGGTGAAAATTTTAGGTCTGTTGTGCAATAGTTTTAGGTCGGTTGAACAATAATTTAAGGTTGGATGAGCAATTTTTTATGCTAGATGAGCAATATTTTTAGGTCGATTGAGAATTATTCTTAGGTCAGATGAGCATATAATTTTAGGTCAAAATTGAGCAATACTTTTAGGTCAGTTGAGCAATTTAGGCCGTCCGATCTTAAAAATTGCTCATGCAACATAAAAATATTGCTCATCGACCTAAAATTATTGCTCATCGACCTAAAATTATTGCTCATCCGACTTAAAAATATTGCTCATCCTACGTAAAAGTATTGCTCGACCGACCTAAAATTGATGCTTATCTAATCTAAGATTATTGCTTTACTGACATAATATGTATTCCTAATTGAACTAATATTGTTGCTAAACTAACCTTAAATATATTCATAACCGACCTAAATATATTTCCAATCTTATAGGTCAGTTTGGGACATTTTGGTAGTTGAACCGACAGATTTTTGGGTCAGAAAAACGATATGTTGGAAACTCAGTTATAGTTTCCTTATGGTAAAATGACCTAAAAATATTGATCAACAGACCTAAAAATATTGCTCAGTACTGACATCGAAATATTACTAATCCAACATTGCTCATCCGACCTACAATTTTTGCTCAACCGACCTAAAATTATTGCTCAACCGACCTAAAAATATTCTTCAACTGACCTAAAATTATTGTTCGACAGACCTAGCATATTTCTCTCAACTAACCTGTATGACGTATCTTTCGACCTATGCGAATCCTCTATGCTCCACGTTAGGTTGGAAACTCAATAGGTTCGATGAGCGGGAACCGTTTGTACACACCCTAAAGCTTGCAAAGGATTTTTTTTCTAATTTTAGTTTCGAGAAAACTGAAGATTTTCATGCTTGAGCTTTTCTTGATCTTTACACAGGCATTTACATCTTCTATACAACTTTACTTGTAATAAAACTAAGTATTGGCTCTTTGTGATAAAAAACTTTCAGTTATAGAACATTTCGATATATATCATGGTTGTTTTATAGGACACAGTGCACACTGCATTATTTTTAGATTATATCTAATATGCTATAAAATTGTTTGACAATAACGTATTTACTGCAGATTGTTAGAAGTTGAAAATTCATTTAAAGCAAGATGCAATTTAAAATATACAGTAAGAACCCAAAAACTCTAAAATAGGAAAATATGGGACACAACTATTGTGAAGTGTAAACAGACTTATTTCACTTTTTGCTTTGTTCTGTATTACAACAACATCAATTACATTTAAGTATTGCTATAATGTCGTCTTTCTAATCCATTTTTTTGTTATCACTGAATAGTATCATGATATTCATTGCTGTTTTGCTTCCACATTTTAATCTTTAATACGTTTGTCAATTTAGAACAGAATGCAAATTGCATATTCTTACCTTGAATTTCCTTGGTTGGAATAGAAACAGAGCACTGTGTGAAGTACAATTGCAGTACGATAAAGTACACTAAAAATATGTTAGTTTACAAAATTTATTTAATGAGGTTTAAGCATATTTTTTTTAATCTGCTGAAACTAGTTCATCCTGTTACTGAGTTAACCCAGGTTGCCCCTGAATAGTAGAGTGTACTGCAAGTACAATAATATGTTTGTAAACAACTTTCTGTAGTTAGTCGATGGAAAGATTCCTTCTTAGAATGAGGTGTTGGGTTCTAAACAGGTAGATTTCTCTTTTTATTTTCAGATTTAGTTTTTAGTTAATCTTTTTTCATTTATTAAGTACAATTTGGCGACTTTTTTCAGGTTTTTAACTGGGGNGGGCACTTTTCCCTACACCTTGATGTGATATTATTTGCGTGAAGGTAAAAGGTCAAAAATTCGTTTCTGTGTTTAAAGAATAATGTGATATTGAAAGGTGAAATTAAAAAGTATTTATATTTGGTTTTCAACGGTTTGGTATTGCTAATGTTAAAAATTGATATTATTGACTTTTAATTATTTCAAACTTTTTGCGTGACCTATATTTCACGTGATGAATCTGACAATTATTTTTTTAGTCTGTTTCTTCTTTTGATTCTAGCCTTAGCTACACCTCAACAAACATATGGAAACGAGAAAAAAGGTAATTACGAAGATTTTTAAAAGTTGTTTTTTTATGACTGCATTTTTTATTATACGAGATGTGAATTTCAGTTAAAACGGTAAATAACTAAAACTATAACAAGTCTTGGGAATTCCTAAATGTGATTTTCAATATTTGCACCTTTAAAATTAACGGAGATTTTAAGAAATCTGTAGTCAAATTATCAAATAACAATATCAAGTTACGTTTTCGTCAGTTTTAAAGATTCAAAGAGGGCAGTCCACATTTGTATAAGCTCATGGGACGTTCAGTCTGTTTTTGATACATCATTGTCTTTATGAACTATTTTAGGACAATTTTCAAGTCTTCCCTTAATTTCCATATTTATTGGTACACCCTGTACCCAAGTAACAAAAGTGAGGAATGTCCCCAGATTCTCCAACCGTGGTGACTTTCTTTAAGGAATTTCCGAGGAATTTCTCGAGAATCATTTCCTGTAACTGATTCCTCGGAAATTCTCGAGAAATTCCCTAGAATTGGTCCCCAAGATGAGAGATTTTTGTGGGATCACAGTTTTGAGACTCAGTTTCGAGAAATTCCTGAGAAATTCTCCGGAATTTTCCCCCACAAAATTCCTCAGAATTTCTCCAGAAATATTCTCTGGAAATTCCTGAGAAATTCTTAGGACTTTGTCACCATATTTACGGATTTTTCGGGGAATTTATTAAGAGAATTAGTTTCGAAAAATTCCTGGAAATTTCTACGGAATTTCACCCCAAGAAATTCCTGAGAAATTTTCCTGACTACTTCTCCGGAAATTCCTGAGAAATTCTTAGGACTTGGTCACCATATTTAGGGATTTTAAGGGGAATTTAATAAAAGAATTAGTTTCGAGAAATTCCTGGGAATTTCTTCGGAATTTCACACCAAGAAATTCCTGAGAAATTCTCCGGAATGCTTCTCCAGAAATTTCTGAGAAATTCTTAAAACTTGGTCACCAAGTTTACGGATTTTTCGGGAATGAGATAAGAGAATAAGTTTCGAGAAATTCCTAAGAATTTTTCAGGAATTTTTCTCAAGAAATTCCTAAGAATTTCTCAGGAATATTTCTCCGGAAATTCCTGAGAAATTCTCAGGACTTCCTCACAGAATTTTCAAGTTCCATTTTTCAACAATAGGTGTCTCTGAGGTTCTCTTCTTTTATGCACTGCTCAAACTAAATCTTTTTTTCTTTGCATCCTTATTAATAAAAAATGATAATTTACTTCAGAGCCATCTTTTAAAAAATTATTTTAAACATTTTAAAACATTTTTTTATTTTTTCTTGACAATTCACTTGTCTGAATAAACAAAATACATGACAACTTCAGTAAGGTCAAAAACGACTATAACATTCTGACTTAAGAAGATGGTTATACTTCTAAAAAGTTGGAGGGGCAATATAGTTGTTAAGTTACTCACTACTTTTGTTAGTGAATATTTCAAGATATTCCTGAGGAACTCTTGAGAAAATCTTGGGAATAGTTCCAGGGAAATTCCCAGGAATTGGTTCTGAAGACCTTTTCGCAACAAATTTTTTCTGGTTTTCCTGAAGAATTGGTAACAAAAAATTCCCTAGAATTGGTTACAAGAAATTCCTTGGATAGAGTTACGAGAATTTCCTCGGAATGGGTTACAAGAAATTCCTCGGGCCTGGTTCCTCGGAATGGGTTACGAGAAATTCCTGGGAAAAGCTGTCGACGTTTTCACCGGATTTTCCTTTGAAAGATTCCTGGGAATTTCCGCGGATTTTCCGCAAAATGTTACTTGGCTATCAAGTCGATTTGCTGAGCCCGCGTCCTTTCCTTAGAAAGTGGCCGTGTAGTTGACGTACTTTGCGGGACGATATGTTGGCCGCTAGATGTCTCATGCTAAATTCTTATCTGATAGATAGATATTTCTCCGTACATTTGACGACCAGGCAATATAGGAGACGTCAAGTTGTCGACCAATATAGTTTATGGAAGGAACGGCCTCTGTTGAGACGAATAGAACTTAATGTACAGCTAAAGTTCCATTTCATTTTGGAGTATACTTTATTTTTATGATTTTCAACAAAAGTTTGCAAGCTCTGGCGTAAAAATCTTCCTGATTTCTAAAGTTCTAGTTCTATGATGTAGATTTCTATTTCCTAGGGCTCCAATAAAGTATAGTTAGTTATTAAGTTAAAATCAAAAGCAACCTGATGGTGTAAATCTTTTGAAATTTCAAACTTAGATTACTTACGACAATAGGTTGCAAAGATATAGGGATTAGAAAATAACAATTTGTGACAAAGACTCGATGCTTCTGCTTAGAAGTCATGTCTAGCGCATTAAACCGTGTTTTTTAAAGGAAGTCCTGCGCCATCTATCCGTCCTCAACCGAACTACCCCTCTCCACCTGACCGCCAGCAATATCCTCCCATGGGTCTAAACCCGTCCTCTGCTTGGTACTCGGCAAGAGAAGAGTCCTCTCCGTCCTACCAACTAGAGTATAAGGCACCGGAGTCTAAATATACAGCTCCGGAACCAGGGTATACCCGTACCGAGACACCATACCTGAGAAAATCTGACAACCCTACTGAAGGAGGAAAGCCCTACTCTACTGTAAACAAGGAATTTATTTTTGAGTCACTTTAAACAACCCGTTTTAAATTCCTAGCATTTTTTAAATGGTGGCCTTGTTTCTTTTTTATACAAAATAGCAGCCAGAGATTTAAAGAATTTTGTTCACTTTCTTTATTTGTAAACTCGCCAAAAGCTAATTTTGTTAAACTTTTGGGATGGTTTACCATAGCCATTAATGGACATTTTCAAATTACATGTCGACCTTTTTATCAAATGATTTAAAACTCACAAAGTTGAACCAGGGTAAGCTTGATAATAAAGCGAAGAAGCTTCTACCAGTATTGGCCAAGCTACAAGCTAAATACTTAACATTAAATGGTGAAGAACAAGACAAGGTTAGTTCAAGTTCTATTTATTAAATCTTATTATTTTGGCTCGTTATCCACCTATAGATGGGCATGTTTGACTTTTTCCATTTTGTACGTATATCGTTTCTGAACGACATATTTAATTTCATTCGTCTTTTTTTCAATCGCTCAAAAGTTCCAGACTTTGTTCTTTCTCAAAACTATTGTTCATTTTCCTTCTATTTTTCATTTGTTTTCTCGCAGCAAGATCTTCAGTAAAACCGTTCGTTCAGTAAAATCATTCGTTTAAAAAGTTAGTTAAAAATCCTTTGTTAATTTAAAAATCGATAGTTTTTAAGAAAGTTTCTTTGAAAAATTTGTTTTTTTCATTAAAACAAACTATAGTTTTTTCAAGATCCTACTGACATTTTTAAATGTTTGTTTTTGGTTAAAAAAAAAACTATTATTTTTCAATTCTCAGAACAACCAACTCGTTCATCCAACGTTTACGAAAAAATTGATTCGTTAAGAAAACTATGCCCATCTCTAGATCCACCCAATGCATAAAAAATATAATTTAATTCAGTTTGGTTAATCAACTCAATTAAAAACTTCTCTTTCGGTTTTTTTTTATATTGTAAATTATATTTTCATTTCAGTGCACATAATATATATTTAATATTTTTAGTCCAAAATGTTAAGGTCTTTACTTTTTAGTTGGTTGAGAAGGCTGATATCTACAGAGAAAAGTTTCAGGAAGTCATTGGGAATATAGGTATTTAATATTTTACAACATTGGGAATATAGGTATTTAATATTTTACAACATTGGGAAAATAGGTATTTAATATTTGACAACATTGGGAATATAGGTATTCAATATTTTACAATCTTTTATTATATGTCAACTTTCGGATTAGCTCTATTTACCGCAATGTCTCGTCGTAATTCTTAAAAAATCTAATAATATTTTGAAAATAGTTTTTGAAAATACGTGTTCTGTTTTAAATCTGTAGCTTTATTATTGGAATTTATGATCAGTTAAAAAATTATTTTATATATTTTTATTTATAGTCTTTGATTATTTTATTGTTTTCTTTTTAATTTTTAAATTTAAAAATCTAATTAAGATGAGAAGACTGCTGAAGAATATGGACTGGATCTCAATTTGATAATGAAGGTTTAATTCTATAGTTCTCTGAACCAGGGGCGTATACAGGATTGGTCTTAACCTTACATTGTGTGGCGTATCTATGGAGTGGGGGGAGTTGGGACCCAATAATATGAATAATATGATGTTCGGGCTCGATATACATCCCCCCCCCGCAACCCCCACTGAAATGTCAAGAAGCTTCAAGTACCCCTGGACCAATTTATTATTATATCATGATAACTGTGAGAACTGGCTATCATTGATATCGAGGATATATTTAATGTTCCCTTGTCAGAATGGTTAAAAATCTCTCGTTTCAAATTTAAGATATTTTAACTTTATAAGAAAGAAAAGCTGAAAACTGTAATATTTAAAGTAGACGAAAGATTATCTAGATTGCTAAACTGTTCTTGAATTCTCACATGTAGATGAATTTCAAGTGGCGTGTCTAATTCACAACAGTACCCTTTAGTCTGATCAATCCATGTTGAAAACTGATAAATTTACATCGTGGTAGCTCTAGAGAAAATATTTTTGCCTTTCTGAACAGGAAAACAATGCAGGAAACCTCGGTATTAAACACTTTTAGTTATAAAACGACGTAATCTTCCTTTTTATTGTTAAGACAAAGATTTCAAGGGTACCGTTGTGAATTGAACTTTCCCCTTTTAAATGAGGATTACTATAATTTAAAAAGACAGACCCATGCAAGTCCCTTCACTCATTTAAATTGTAAATTAGATTTTGTAAATTTGTTGTAATTGTATGAAAAATTTTAAACATTTTTGTGTTTAGATTCTTGGAGTTGAGAATAACTATGAAGAAGAAATCGAAGAGGAGTCTTATGAAGGTATAAGCTTTGTATTTAAAACTGAATTTGTATCTTGAAATTTTAAATTTTTTAAGAAATGCACAAAAACTCAGAGGCGGCTTAAGGGGGGGGGGAGGGAGACGATCCCCCTGGAAAATTGGGGGGACATCCCCCTCGATTGAAAATTGAGGGTAGTGCCCCCCATGAAAAAATTTAGGAGCCTGAGAGAAAAGAGAAAAGAGAAAAGAGAGCATGAACCTCATAGCCCTCACATTTGGAGTTTTAAGAATAGATTCCAAAGATTTTGTGTGGAGCTACTTTTTCTTCCCCCCCCCCCCCCCCGTGCTAGTTAATCAAGGTTTTGAAATAAAACTGACCAAATTCCCTGTAAAATAAATTGGGGAGGGGGGATAAAACTTCATTCTTATAACTTTTCTTATATAATTCCGCAATTATTATTGAATGAAGATTGATGTTATTTTTATCAGTTGGATGAAGTGGTTAAAGGGAGTGACCGGCTATGTAAGGTAGTTGAACTGAGTGTGAATTGTTGTTAAAAACTTCTTTCGGATTAATTTGAGACATATTAAACTTTCAAATATCTGTAAATCCTAAGTTTGAGCGCAAATTAGACCCTCAAAATTCCTACGTTTCAGAATTAGTTTTTTTTTTATTACTAAATAACGACAACGAAAAATAAAGTAAAAAATTATACAGTAATCTAATTAGATGGTTAGGAAACAAAAGAAATTTGTCAAATCAATGCTAAAATCGATTATTTCGTTTTCATTATTATATTGAATTTCTTATTTTCTTTGAATTTATTCGCAGATTTCTTCAAATTCTTCAAATGTCGTCTTTTCAACAATAGTTCCAGAAAATCTGCGAAAATCTTTGTGAATAATGAGAAAAAAGAAACAAATAATTGAACAAGATTACTTATTTTCCAAGATAAGATTATTTTTTTTCTCAACATGTTCCTATACATAACGTCTGTATAGTTTATTGTAAAACTTTTTTACATTTTATGTCGTCGTTATTTAATAATTTAAAAAAAAATATTCTGAAAACGTATCCACTCCCAAAGTAGGAGTTTTGAACATCGAATTTATGTTACAGATCTTTAAAAAGTTTAATATGTCTCAAATGAATCCGAAAGATGTTTTCCACAACACTGCATACTCAGTTCAACTACCTTACATAGCCGGCCACTACTTAAAAAAAAAACTAATTCTGAAAACGTATCCACCCCCCAAAGTAGGAGTTTGATCGTCGAATTTGCGCTCAAACTCGGGATTTACAGATCTTTAAAAAGTTTAATATGTCTCAAATGAATCCGAAAGAAGTTTTCCACAACACGGCATACTTAGTTCAACTACCTTACATAGCCGGTCACTCCCTTTAAAAGAAAGGGTAGGAGTTTAGGGTTAAATCCGAATTCAATTGAAGCTTATATTTTAGATTTGTTTGCGCAACTAGTAGCTGAAACTTATCATACTGAAGACTTACCAGAGCCCCCTGTTCATCCTACCCCTGTACAATACCCCAATAAGGTAAACCTTTATTAATTCTGTTTTGGAATGTTATTAACTTTCCTAACTTTCCTGTTTGATATGTAGGGAGTTCATAAGAACCCAATGTATGGTGAAAATGTTCGAAACTACTACTCGTCTCTGGACAATCGGTTTGTTCACATTAATAACGAAGATGAGGATTACAAGGTATACAAATGAATTATTTAAAGTCTTAGGTTTTTGTCATTGCTGTTCGTTTGTTTAAAAAAAATTGGGATAAGGAACCCAACCAGGTCAATATAATGTTCAAGATTATATTTATATTTAATAGTTTACTTATGATTTTTTAGTCCAATTAGAGCATTGCAGGGGCGTATACTGGAATTTGGCCAGGGATGGTGGACGGTGGTTTTACATTTCTTGTNAATAAGTTTTTACTTCTGGAGGGGGGGGTCATAGCCATAGCCTCCCCCCTTATACGCTTTAAACCTTGTGTGTGTGTTTATAGTTTTTTAATTTTCAGTTTAATAGGTTATTCATGTTTCAGGCCTTTGCTTTTCAACTGCAAGGTCTTGCTGAGCAGTATAAGTCAAGTCCACCTAGTCCCTACGGACCATCATTGAAATATATCTCAGGCCCGCCTAGTCCCTATGGACCATCATTGGAATATATCTCTAGCTCTGAGAAAGAGAACTTCAAATTGAATCCCCATGGTATCCAATATGACAGTATCTTTGATAAAGAAAACTTTAAACTTGAAAGCGCTGCTCCTGATGGTATTCAGTACCACTCCTCCTCGGATAAAATGGCGTTAAATCTATTAAATCCTAATGTTCCCAGACATGATCAAGTGTATAAAAGCAAAGTTCCTCCCACTTATCATGAACGCACGTCAAGGATGGATGAAGGGCCACCAAACTATGAAGTTCCTGAATACTACAACATTAATCCAGGACTTCCTAGACCTTTTCCAGTTGACCCCACTTCACCAAGAACTCATCTCAGACATGTGGAACAGTATCCAGTGGGCCCTAGATATCCTAATAAACCTTATCCAGTGGACCCCAGACACCCAGAACAGTATCCAGTTGAACCCAGATACCCGGAACTGTACCCAGTGGATCCTAGACACCGGGAACAGTATCCAGTGTTTGCCAGATTCCCTGAACAGTATCCACTGGATCCCAGACACCAAGAGCCCTATCGAGTGGACCCAAGCCACCAGGAACAGTATCCAGTGAACCCCTTGTATCAGGAACGTTTTCCAACTAAGACCCCATATGATGCTTCATACTTTTATGATCCCTTTGATGGATTGCGGAAGCCAACTGACTATGAGAAGCAACCAGCTGAACCTATCAAGTTTCCTCCTGTTAGACCAAATGAAAATGAGCCCTACACACCGCTCATCAATGAACGCCCCCCTGGCCCCATTTCACCTCAATTTAACCATCTAGCAAATAGATATCTGGACTCAGAGGAGTATGAAGATGGATACCCAAAACCACAGGCCTATATAAGACCACCCAGCTACCCTACCCCACCAAGCTATCCTACCCCACCAAGCAGCTATCTTACTCCACCCAAGCTATCCTACCCGACCCAGCTACCCTACCCCAACCAGCTATCCTACCCCACTGAGCTATCGTACCCCACCCAGCTATCCTACCCCACCAAGCTATCCTATCACACCCAGCTATCCTACTCCACCCAGCTATCCTACCCCACCAAGCTATCCTATCACGACTAGGTACCCTACAACTACAAGTAACTCTACTCCTTCAAGTTATACTAAAGGTCCTGCTACCAGACCCCTGCTACCAATCGCTAACAGTAGGCAAGAAAAGTAAGTGCATGAAATTAATCTTATTTTGCTGGTTTTTTGGAGGGTCTTCTTATTGGAGTTGATTGAAAATTTGTTTGATCTTTTGTTGTGAACTGTTAAACAATTTTTATATGATGGCAAAACTTTGACATTGACATTTTACCACAAGTGCTACAAAGACCTTCAAAAGGGTGTTGATAAAACAACTTCACATTTTTCTCTCACAAACTTAATAATCATGATCATAATCATAATGAAATTAATTTCACACGGTTTAAAAATATCGGATTTGGTCAACCCTGCTTTGAAAAAATACTCGTTATGATGGGACTGATCAGCCTACTCAGCTGGGATTTCAGTTGATTAGGATTTTTTCATTTCTTCCTTGGCTTAACCTTTATTCTTACAATGGAACAAGCATTCAATTGTAGGCAGTAAATTAATTATTTTTTAAAAATCTCCAAATTTTTGAAGGATTTTATGACCCCCGACCCTCCCTCAGCTTCACAAAAAACATGCATTGCTCGGCCCAGAAATTATCTAAGCTTATCCTTTTAACCCTAAATTTAAAACATGCAATAAGTATATTTTCGGCCATGTGTATAAAATCCTCATTTTTTGGAACGATTGTAAAAAGAGAGCGAGAACAGAACAATCTAGCTGAAGGCACTTGTTCTAGAATGGAACGGAATGATTTCAAAAAAGTCGGAATGTGCCCAGCCCTAGTTACAGTATACTCCAAATTTGTGTTAGGTCATATCAGCCCCACCCTGAACCTGCTAACTTTTAAGGCTTTTTAGAGATTTAGGCTTATATTAAAAGCCTTTAAACAGATTCCTAACGTCTTTAAGCCAGTTCTGGAAATGTTTTTTTTGCAGATAGGCTGATCAAGAGTTAAAGACTATTTATTTAGGGCAGGGTTGACCAAATCCGATAATCCTTATAGTGACATTGTGTTATTGAATTCATTATGATTGGGTAGTATTTGAGCCTGTGAGAGAAAAAGGTGTGTTTTTTTCAACACCCTAATTTCAACACCCATTATCAAACCTAAAAGGAAATTAAAAATGTTTAACTTTATTCTATTTTAGAGGACACTAGTTCCAAAACTAACACTTGGCCCATTTCTAAAACTGTGTTAGAAAGACCGAGTGTTAGTTTTATAATTAATGTCTCCTCTATTTAGTCCTGAGAAAATGATTGTACCTGATTTCACAGAGGACCAGTTGAACCGATTCAAGACCTATATGTCTATAAAAGCTAAAATGCCTGTCGACTCTAAGGCAAGTCCTGGTCCTTCACCTCAGGAGGTCAACGCTAAAATTAGGAAAGATGGGCATTACAAGGTTAAGAATTTGACTAAATATTAACCCCCTTTACAAACAAATATTTTTGGTCCCCGGAACTTTTCTACTTTCTCTTAACTATGCCTTTTTTAGGAGCCGTAGGAGCATTTCTGCAGACCGTTTGAAGCTATGAATGAGTTTTTACAAATGCTATGTATGTTTAAGAAATAAATATTTTCCTCTTATTGAATATTTTTTTTCCGAAAAGCTTGAAATGATCTTCAATTTATCGTGACCTGTTTCATTCACAACGCTATCCTTCAAACCTTTGTCTCAGCACAATAATAATGGAGAAATTTTTCTTTTTCCAAATGATAATAAATTCAAGTTATTAAGGTTTATGGAGTAGTTTTCCATCACTATTTTCTTCTTGAATTTATAGGGTCTCTTGAAGTTACGTATACAGCCTTTAAGACAAAAGATTATGTTAAAAACTTTTGTACTCCATTTAACAAAATTTAACAAACTAAAGAATAAATATTAGAATGAAGAATGATGGTTATTATACATAACCCTAGCTCATCTTTAAATTATTTAATAAAGTGGGGTTGTTAACATACGTAGTTTCTAGTGATCCTCCATCTAAAGCGTGATATGTTCGATTCAAAACGATATCCTTGAAAAGTGTTAGCTGATTGAGAATTACTGAGTTAAACAATTTTCTTTCTTCAATTGTAGTTAATTTATTAAAGTGCCTTGCTGAAACTATGGAATTAATTGTCAGAATTATCCAAGGTTGTATGATAAGGTTGGTTACTCTCGTTTCGCTCGAATGTTAGGGAAATTTCGTCTTCTAAGATAGATAGATGAAATGAATGGCGTCACTCTCGCCTCTTATCAGTACGTTATATCGGATATTTATCTTTCTTAAGTGACGACATATTCCGTATAAAGGGTAACAAATCAGTAAAAATAAATTCCTGGAAGAGTTGAAATTTTTAAAGTATGCAAGATAATAATTTATTACGAGGTTTAGGAGGGAGCCTCGCCAATTGACCTTCGGAGCCTCCTGCAACGCAGAATCGCTTCAAAGCCCCACACAACTGTCTCCACGCCTCCCACTCCTTCCACGAGTAGTTTCCATGAAAAAGGTCAAAAATAAAGACCAAAGTAAAATGTGGAACACGATTTTTTCAAATATGAGGTTTTATAGTATCTTAATATTTAAGATGCTAGATTTCCATATTTTGCGGACAATATCCTTAAATAGCGCTCGAAATTTTATTGTGAGTTTTGAGCTCGTAGCGCGGTATTCGAATATCAAATAGATACAAATGTTAGAAATGTACAAAGAGCTTTGTAAAATAAAGAGTAGGCATTGGGATTTATACGCAAAACCAGATGCCTCAATTGGGTTCAATAAGAAGCCAAATAATGTCGTCTTTTCTATAATTTAAAAAGATTTTAGGACTTTTTAAGCATTTATACATCACCAAAAATTTGCGTTTTTTACATAATTTGCCGTTAGAAATGCATAACTTTAGTATCTTTTTAGATAAACTTAATCTTAAAACAGACTGCAATGTAATTGGTTTAAAAAATTTGGCTACTTAAAACCAAGGTTTTTTCGGGCTTTCCTCACGTTACTGGCCTAAAATTCTGCTTTAGACTATAACAAAACTATACTTAATAACATTCTAATAAATTTTGTTTTAAAATTTGTGGTATTTTTCATACAAATGAGATGCGTTGCGTAACAAAATCACAATTTTAGCCTTATTTTTAGAAGTTTATATAAGTGGACAGAGTGTACACACTATTCGGATTAATTCCTAAGGCCCTATCTTTTACTATTCTACCGTCTTTGGGTATGTAGTTTCCCAAAAGCAAATTCCCAATGGCGACCCTCAAAGTGACAATTTCCCAAGTTCCACTTTCTTAAATCTGCAATTTTAAAAGCAGCAACTTCCCAAAGGTTAAGTTAGGCCGAGTGCTTGTGCCAGGTTAGGCCAGGGGGCATTATGCACTTCTCAAAAATGTTTTGTTAACATTTCTGTTAAAATTGTAGGTAGAGTTTACATTTACAATTTTCTATATAGGTGGTCTGGGTTCCTCTGGGCTGCTTGCAGATCTCATTCTCATAAGTCATATACATTCTCATATACATGTTAATTAATAGGTTTTTATAAATCGTTTATTGTATTTTGCAAAAAGAAATAAAAATTATAGATAAAATATATAGCTAACTCTTTTATGGTTGAGCTTTTATTATTGTAATGATATTTTCCCTGATTTTTGGCTTTTTGTGAAGGCATCACTTTTTTTTAGAAATAGAGTCATTTATTTATGGTTTCTTGTCTTTTACTTTATTTTCAACAATTTATAGTTAGAACAATTGTTAATGGTGTTTGACATTGACGGCTAGTATTACATTATTATGGTTGACATTGACACCTAGTATGACATTATTATGATTGAAATTGACGGCTAGTATTACATTATTATGGTTGACATGACACCTGGTATGACATTATTATGATTGACATTGACGGCTAGTATAACATTATTATGGTTGACATTGACAGCTAGTATGACATTATTATGGTTGACATTGACGGCTAGTGTGACATTATTATGATTGACATTGACACCTAGTATGACATTATTATGGTTGACATTGACGGCTAGTATGACATAATTATGGTTGACATTGACGGCAAGTATGACATAAGTATTGCTAAAATGTCGTCTTACCATTCCAATGTTTTCTGATTATAACTGTAGGATTGTGTTATTACTGCACAATTGCTGCGTTTTATGTTTTTAAGTGGACTATTCGGCCTATCAGTGGAGTTTTTTGGGACTTACAGCAACTTTAATATGGTAAGTTATATTTCCAAATATATGGTATTTTTTTTAAGCTCCACTGAGTGAATGTATACGACAATAATCTATGGTAACCTGTGTTTGATGCCTATAGATACATTTGTCATCTATAGAGTCTATGTCTTCGCAGCAAAAAGAAATAAGAAAAATAAATGTCGTCGTTGTAGAATTTATACTTTAGAAGGTTAAAACGCAGCAGAGCCCAAAGGCCAAATCTTCCCAACTTAACGGACGTATTTAAGACGTACTTTGTATGCCTCCGTACTCTATAGTGTTATCCTCTAGATGTCACGCAAAGTATAGGTGTCAGCACATATGTAATTTTACTATGCTTGCTATTGGTTTCCGCCGAGAGGGGTCGTGTTTCACCATGAGTAAGTTAAGACGTCATATATGTTTGCAAAAAGTACGAATGGGAAGATTTAGGTTCAATGAATAAGTTACTGATTGATAAAGTCATTCATATCAGTGTAGTTTGCAACTGATTATCTTTCATAATTTTTTTTATAAGATTACAGGAGGGGGTAAGATTAAAAGGGTGAATAAACATTTTATTTAGCGCTTCGCGCGAATATACTATCCTAGCCCCCCCCCCCTCAATTTCTCAAATCCTGAAGCCGTCCTTGTAAACACGTCACACGATGAGATTACAATTTGTAAAGTCGTCTCTAAGTCTCATTTTTTATGGGTAATCCTGTAGTAAAACCTGTTTAGCCTGTTGGCGTCACTACCTCAGATAAAGGTTATTGTGTATATCAAGGTTAATGTATTCTCTAAAATTTATATTTGTAGTAAATAGTAACCACCAAATAGATGTTCAAGTAAAGGTGTCTGTCTACAGTACAGAGAAAAGAACCAACACACGACGTCACAAGTGTAAACTATAACAAGGAAAACGAAAATTTCTCTTACTAGTTGCAATATATTCCAAGATCAAATAAAAAAGTATAAAAGCAGAAACTAAAAAACACATAAAATTGCACTTATTTTGCTGTAAGATAAGCACTTTATTTTAAAATTATCACTATAATTAATAATTTTGTCAGACACAAAAACGGAATCGACACTTGTGACGTCAAAATACAACTGTACTGAGAGTGTACATATTCTACGTAGCCATCTATTGTAATCGAATTTATTTGATAACCACTTTCCACGAACTCCGTAAATTGAACTACATTTAAGAACAGTCTCTAAAAAGCTTTATACCCGATAAAAAATGAATTTGATATATGCAATACCTTTTATTGAAGTAACTTGTCTATTTTATCTTTACAAACAATAGAGGAAATTATCAGAATTAAACGAAACTATCTTCCATCTTATTGACTTAATATGGGACCGTTGTGAATCGAGCTTGAAGTTACTTGAAGTTACAAAAACCGTCCCCTATATCCTTATTTTTCGTGAGAATTCCAATTTGAACTTTTAGATCGTTAAATGTTGAAGATTTTTAGTTCGTCTTCAAAGTGTATTCTTTCAACTGTGTATTGAGGATATTGAGTCTATATGTGTATCATATACAGGGTGTTCCAATAAACATCGTCTTTTTAAATAATTCTTTGATTTAGTATACTGATACCTACTGAGAAGCTGTAATCCGTAAGATTTTTGTCTGCTATGTTTACAATTTGTTTGTTTTTGTTTTGACTGAATACAGTTGTACTTAAAAAAAACAAGAACATTACAGTATACAAACAGATTAAAACTGTCCATTTTCACTGCTCAACTTACAAAGACACTATAGACAAATCTTTACAGCCATTCACTGTTTTGATAAAATAAACTCTAGTAGACATAATAATATTATGTCTTTTGAAATCAGGTATTACAATGCTAATTTATAACAAAGACGATGTCGAATTCGTCCCATATTAATTGGGACACCCTGTAGGTTAATACAAATATTTCAAGTTAAACCAGTATTTCAACATATTAGTGTAGGATGTATATATTATTGTGTATCACTGTGTATAGTGTATATAGTGCATAGTATATCAGTAAACAAGCAACAATCTTCTGTTAACATTTTATTCATGAGCACAATGTTTCATGCTTTATGCAATCTTCAGTATAGTGTAAACAGTAAGAGATAGAATACTGCAATAGATGTTGTTACAAAGCAAATAGTTTTATTACTAAACAGTAATTTAGTGAAATGTGTGACTGTGTCTGTTTTTAACAACACAATTACTGTGTGTCATGAGCATTGCGCACTTTTTCAAGTTTTAATTTTATTCCAAAAGTCGTCTTCTTATTTCAGAGTTTTCTGGTTATCACTGAAGTATATGTGTGTTGTGTATTGTCTATATAATGTAAAGCCTATGTCTGTGCTATACTTTTCATTTTTAAGATTAATATTCGTTTTTATTCTCGATATTTTTAAAATAGTTTCTCTGACTCCTGTTTTTTTCTTGCTTGTTTTAAACCTAAAGTGTGGACCACTAAAGGAAACAATTGTTGGACAACAATTAATGGTCGTCTTTATTCTAAAATATAGTGACATCATTGCAGTAGCAAAAAGTTGTTAAAACATGTCATTTGATAGCTTTCAAAGCTGGAGTGGGTACAAAAACAAAAGGCCCAAAATTTGAAGAAAAAAAATATGTTTTGTACCCACTCCTATTAAAGATCGTAGACGATCTGTGAGTCGTCTACATACTATCATACATCCTTTATAAAAGTATGAGAATATAACTCAATTCTTCATATTTTCAGAAATAATCGAACCAAAATGGCGGAAATACTGATGGTAGAGAATTTTATCGGAGGGGATTTTATATCTTCTGCCAAGCATATAGATAGGTATCCATGAGATAGGTATCCATGAGATAGGTATCCATGAGATGGTGTCCATGAGATAGGTATCCAGGAGATAGCTATCCATAGAAACTATTTGTCAGAAATAGCGTGTGGAAAGGAATCGTAATCACTAATCTAGATTGTGTATAGCTATGTATAATAATAATACAAAAATTATAGTAATAATAATAAGAAAAAAAAATGAGAGTTTTTGTCACAAAATCAAATTGTCTAATCCCTATATCTTAACAATCTGATGACGTAAACCCTTGACATTTCAAACTTAGATTATTTGGTCTAACAGAATTCATTGTTTGAAATATCAAAGGTCTACGACATTGGGTGGCAAAGATATAGAGATTAGAAAAGTAGAGTTTGTAACAAAAACTCAGTTCCTTTACCAACTGCGTTTATTGAAGCTCTTTTGTTTTCAATGTTTCTGAGTTCTACGTTTCAATTTTTGTTTTTGATTTGTTTTCTAGTTCTTTGTTTGAATTAAGATAAATCTAAGATTTAGAATGAATAATATTTTTGTGATGGGCGTTCCAAAAATCAAACATTATTATAATTGTGAAGGATGTTCCAAAATTAATCAATATTTTTGTAAGGGATGTCGGCTTAAAAATCATTTTCGATTTTCTGCAATCACGTGTATTAAAAAACATTTTATCAAAAAGTTTAAAATCGATTTTATTCAAAAATGATTTACAAGATACTAGCAGTTTAAAGCGGAATACCGATATTACTGCAAATAATTATGTTTACACAAAAAAAGAGTTCATTTTGAAACATGTGAAATGAATATCTTTGTATCATAATATGTCAAGCAGATTTCATATTTTTTTCAACATATAATTATATTATTCGATAGATACCTCACGTTAATTTCACTCCTATCCCAGCAAGATATGTAAATTTTGATCACAATTTGAGCCAATAAACAGAAATAATTCGCTTTTATCAACTATACTTTTTATGACGACGGATGCCGATGTTAAATGAAAAGGAATAAAATTTAAACTTATAAGTTTGATAAATTGTAGACCAAAACACGATTGAATTGAAATTAAAGAAACCTAACACATGTCAATGTAAGCCGAGATTTGAAGTTTTTGCAGGCACTCAAGTATCAAAATATAAATACCTAGCTTGGAAACCCAGCTTTGCCTTGATACAAAGTTTTATTAATAAGAATCAACCTATTTAATTAAAAACTGTTTAACCTAGCTAAGAATATTCCCGTGGTTCTACAGAGTTTCCCAATTTAAGTTGAGGCAAATCGGTTAAGGAGTTCCTGAGTAATGATCGGACATACAAACAAATAAACAGAGAATGCTATCATGTTTCAAAATATAATCAATAAATCATTTTCTTTTAGTTTTAACCCTGCAACTGGGGAGGTCTGGGCACTTATACCAGATTCAGGGGCTCACCAGGTAACTAAAAATTAATTGAAGGAAAAAATTTTAAAAAAATTATCTTTAAATTTTTTTTTATTTTTCGAAAGAATCATCATGGAAAAAATAAATGGTATTTTTTTTTTATGTTACATTTGCAGCATTTGGTGTTAACGATTTTTTTGGCTTACCCGTAATGTGAATTAAATTTAATTTTGCTAAATCAAAAGCACAAACTACTAATTGGTGTAAACGTTTATTTAAGTGTCCCTCTATCTTGAGAAGGGGATGCAAAGATTAACAATTATATTCCTAAATATGAGACACGGCTCAAATATGGTTGGTTCCACTTTAAATTGTATTGCTATGTTTCAAGATTTAAGCAGGCGCTCAATTGAAACTGGTTTTTGGGGGATTTCAGACGCCGCTCAAATTAATTAAATTCGGACTCAAAATTTATAAATTTTCTTTTCATAGATTATTATTTCCAATTTTGATTTCAATCTATTATTTGTGAATTCAAATGACCTGGTATTTTAAAAGGAGAATACACGATACACAACGGTACCCAATCTAAACCCTTTTTTTATCATTGAGGACAGAGAACTTGTATAATCTATATATTTTAAATGCTATGTTTAAAGCCGTAAACCTGGATTGTACGTTAACGTACTGTGTGAACTCGACACTAGTGATATTTATGCCAGGAAAATCCAGAATGTTCTATGTCCAAAAATTCAATTGAAAATATTTATATTCCGTGACTTCTATAAATATGTGATAACAGCTTGCAAAGAAAGTGTTAACACAATAACACGAGTTTCTGTAGATAAATAAGGAAAAGTCTGACATCGTTGATCAGAAAAAGGTTAAGAGGGTAACGTTGGTGGATGCCCTCTTCAAATGAAAGGTCACTTGAAATTATGTGTACAGTCCCTTTAACTGTAAAAGGTGAATGAAGCTGTAGCAGCAGCCGAGAAAGCTTTTCCCTCCTGGTCACGACTAACTCCATCAGCCAGAGCAAAATATCTTCTTAATATTGCTGATATCATTGATCAAAGGTAAGCAAAGGTAATTGTTTAAATAAATATTTTTAAAAAAGTATTCGTTGTAATTACAAGCGAAATTCTTTTTTTAGAGGCACCCAAGGGTACCCTATACATGATGATAAAAAAACGTTGAAAAGTGTTTATCTCACACTCCCCAAGCCATTTTCAAAGAGAAACCATAGTTTGAATTAATTAATTACCCCACGCTGGGCCGTAGTAAATTTGAATTCGAACAGGACCTGTCCAGTTTGTACCGGCCTGCCAGATAACAGCGTGTACTGACCCGATCCTATGACCATATTCTGTACAGTACGTCGCCCTAACCAGACTAGCATACGACAGGGGTCAATTTTCTTGGTATAGTAACGTCGGAGGGCTAACTACGACAACTCCCATGGCGCGTTCAGACTTTTTACAGTACCCGGCTCCACTGGCTTAGTCCACCGTGACCCAAGGGAAAAAAAAATTTTCAGGGTACAGTAGTGAATCGGAAATGCCACTTTGTAGAAGATGTTCTCTAAAATTTACATTTCCATCCCCACAATATCGAAATGAGCTTTATGTTTTGGCGATTGTTTTCTTCGAAAATGTTTTTTTGTGTCTTAAATTTCCAAAGAATTATTTTGGAATCATATTTGGATGTCTATAACATTTCTTTAAAATTCAAAATAAGAAAATTATTTTTTAACTTTCCTTATTAAACGCATTCGTTACCCTAATTTTTTAAGCATGTTTAGTTCATTGCATGAACTAAAAAAATGAAAGCAAACAATTTCAGTAATTGGCAAAACATTTTTTGATGATCCAGTTTTGTTCCAAAGTTGCCAACAATGGTTACTAAAAGTGAACAGGTTTCAGGTGGGTGGTAAAGTCTTATCTTTTGTGGATAACCCTGTATCTATTATATTTTAACAAACCTTTTGTTTACTGACCCATAAGCCTATAAGTCTACCAAAAGTACATATCAGTCAGGCTTAAAAAGCTTACATGGGATAATCCTGTATGACCTAAGAAAATCATGTAAAATTCTTATTAATATTTTATTTATTCTTAGATTCAATTAAACATAAAAAAGAACTTTAATGTTTATTTAGAGTGTATTTCACCAAATAAGGATAAATAACGGGAATAAAATTGAATCAACGTTTTTATTTTGTGAATTTTTGCTATGTCAGTTCATCAACAGATTCTCTTGGCAGGTGTCAGACTTCACTTCCCAGTTTTTGACTAAGATACAATAATGGTGTAAAAGGTTCACCCAGATCGACCCTAAATTAACCCCTTCAATTATCTCTAGTTTCCTGTATCTGCTAATTGTATCTTTAGCTGTATCTATGCATAGGTTGGATGTATCTTTAGCTGTATCTATGTATAGGATGGATGTATATCTAGCTTTATCTATGTATATGCTAAATGTATCTCTAGCTGTATCTATGTAAAAGTTGCTTGTATCTCTGGTTGTATTTATATATAATGAAATAATCTATCTATGTATAGGTCAGATATATCTCTAGCTGTATCTCTGTATAGGTTGAATGTATCTACAACTGTATCTTTGTATAGGTTAGATGTATCCTAGCTGTATATATGTATGTTGTATTGGTTGGATGTATCACTGGCTTTATCTATGTGTAGGTTGGATGTATCACTAGTTTTATCTATGTATAGGTTGGATGAGCTATATCTAGCTGAATCTATGTACAGGTTGGATGAGCTATCTCTAGCTGAATCTATGTACAGGTTGGATGAGCTATCTCTAGCTGTATCTATGTACAGGTTGGATGAGCTATCTCTAGCTGTATCTATGTTTAGGTTGGATGAGCTATCTCTAGCTGAATCTATGTAAAGGTTGGATAAAACTCTAGCTGTATCTATGTATAGGTTGGATGAGATATCTCTAGCTGAATCTATGTATAGGTTGGATGAGCTATCTCTAGCTGAATCTATGTATAGGTTGGATGAGCTATCTCTAGCTGAATCTATGTACAGGTTGGATGAGCTATCTCTAGCTGTATCTATGTATAGGTTGGATGAGCTATCTCTAGCTGAATCTATGGACCAGGGTAAACCTGTGTGGTTGGCTAAACAGATGGACATCCCAAGAGCTTCTCATAATTTCAGAAGTTTTGCTGAGTCGTGGCAGGTATAGAAGTTGAGTGTTTCCCACAGATTAATTTTGCTAATCCTGATATCAATTGTAACCTGATCATAGGGATTCGAAAATTAGAATTTGCAGCAAAGACTCAATTTGTTTTAATTTTGCTTTTAAAAGGGTCGAGTATTCGTGAAAAATGAAAAGGGGTATAGCTGCTGATCCTAAATTGAATTCGGTTTCGATTGCTACGATCGCTACTAATTGTTGTGTAAGGAGAAAATGGTTAAAATCGCATTATACCCAAGAGAGTAGAACCCATACGAATTCACGGAGTCGAATTCAATTCTGGGCATTTGTATGTAGTTTACATTTCACATTATTTTTTTTATATACGATGTACTTATGTCTATACGATGTACCTGTGACCTAAAGCGGTAAAAAAATCGTACTCCAAAAAAAAGCGCACATAAAAAAATTAGATATAAACTACATAAGAATGCCCCGAATTGAAATCAACATAACTTGTAATATCTTATTAGAAACCGTTTTTTTAGCATTTAACCGAATCCTCTAATTCAATGAGTGGAGCTGGAGTTATAAACTACTCTCTTAGAAAACCGTTAGGAGTTGCTGGTAATAATAGTAATTATATTAATGATATTAACCCCTGGAATCTCCCTTTATATCTTCTAACCTTCAAGATTGCTCCAGCTTTAATGGCAGGCAAGTTTATTACAAAAAAACATGTTTCATCTTTTTGCAACACTTTTAGTTTGAAAGTACATTTTTTCGAGAAAGTTCAAACCTTTTAATTTGTCCGGAAGGGAAATGAGTTTTGCCAAAAACTCTAATTGTTTAATTACTATATCTTTACAACCCGATCTCGTAAACCTTTGATATTTCAAACTATAAATTTTAAAATCTAAAGGTCTAAATTTGAAATATCGAATGCTTACACCATGCATTAGGTTGCAAAGATATTGGGATTAGAATATTTGAGTTTGTGGCTAAAACTCATTTCCTTTAGCGAAAGATCAAAATAATCTATAAAGGCGAGATACCGAAATTTGTGACTTTTTCGAGAAATGGTGTTTGCTTCTAGATATTTCACAAAGAAAAGAATTAAAGCAAGTTCATTTGAAATATAGATTTATTTAAATTTAAATATTTTTTTAGAAAAACCAGTAACTAATCGAGCAAACTAATATCACCTTGATATATTACTATATAATAAATTAAGCATGTCCTTTCTAAATAGAGTGTAGAATAGTTACATAAAATATCTTATTCACAAATATATGAAGAATAAAGATGAGTTCTAATTGTACAAAAAGATGAATAATTCAAGCATCTATATTAGAAGAATAATGTAAAACTTTTCTAAAGAAAATAGAATAATTTATTATGTTTCTGAATAAGATACTTTTTGTAAAGTGAACTTTGAATTGAACATTCAGAAATAGTTCTTAAAACTAATATTCCTAAAATTTGCTATATCTATATTTGAATTGAAAAATACAATTTAAACGTAGAACTATTGCATTTGTACTTTTGTTTGTTTCAAATAGATTATCAAGTATACAATAGATGGCAACAGAGAAATGGAACAATTATTCACGACGTCACGAGTGTCGATATAACAAGAAAAACGAAATTTTCTCACATTAGTTGACATGTTTTCCAAGATTAAATAAAAAAGTGCTAAACAGAAAATAAAGAACAGATACAATTGCATTTATTTGGCTGTAAGATAAGTACTTTATTCTAAAATTATCACTAATATTAATGAATTTTTCGGACATATAAAATTGTTTAAACTTGTGACGTAAGAATACAGCTGTACTGAGAGTGTACAAATTTTACTTTGCCATCTTTTGCACTATAGATTTTATTTGGTTTGTTTGCAAAAAATTGTCGGCTTAATTGCATAAACATGGGCTATAAAATTTAGCTTTGGAACTCGTTAAAGTGTTACAAAGAAACACGTGGTGTTTTTTAGTAAACAAGTGAGAAAGAAGTGAGAGGGATTTACGCGTTGTTTCAACTTTCCCTCCATGATGACATGATGCAAAAATGACATTACCAGATTTACAAGGATACCCTTGTAACCTCTGTTTGTCCAATTATGAATTAGAAATCTTGTATATTATTATATTAGATATATTATTTTTCCTTTATAGTGTTTATTTCATTTGCGGTTTCTCTGCAAAAGTTACTTGCACATTCCGTGTTTATAAGAATCAATGGAGAAATTCACCGAAATTAACACCTTTAGGGTCAGAAAAACGATGGTATCTTCCACATTTTTTATCAGATTAAATCAACCCATTCTTGAATATTGATGCAACTTTTCATAGCAGCCAGGATCTATATGTGTAAACATTCAATCCATAGAAGCAATGACCACTTGCATTAATTTGCAATTATTTGCAATTTCACAATTTGACTATTTGATCTGGCATAACTTCAAGTTAACAAATCTGACGACAAAAGGGTTGATTGATATTAGTGAGATGCTTCATTCGAAACTTATAAATGAACAAATTAAAAATTTATGTTGTTGCATTCAACAACAAAAAAGCGTATTGGTAGAACAACAAATATTTGTCTCTGTTGATATAGAATATGTAGATATCAGAAGAATACATATATTTTAGAAATATATAGATATCAGAAGAATATATATATATATATATATGTCAGAGGAATATAAAGATATCAGAAGAATATTCAATTTATTGTTCAATAAAAAAAAACAGATAAACATTCTCATACACAATGTTTCATGGACCAGTTGTCGTGGACCAATCTTCAGTAAGGTCTGTTATCAGAGGGATATATAGATATCAGAGGGATATATAGATATCAGAGGAATATATAGATATCAGAGGGATATATAGATATCAGAGGAATATATAGATAACAGAGGGATATATAGATATCAGAGGGATATGTAGATATCAGAAGAATATATAGATATCAGAGGAATATATAGATATCAGATGAATATATAGATATCAGAGGGATATATAAATATCAGAGGAATATATAGATATCAGAGGGATATATAGATATCAGAGGAATATATAGATATCAGAGGGATATATAGATATCAGAGGAATATATAGATATCAGAGGGATATATAGATATCAGAGGGATATGTAGATATCAGAGGGATATATAAATATCAGAGGAATATATAGATATCAGAGGAATATATAGATATCAGAGGAATATATAGATATCAGAGGAATATATAGATTAGAGGAATATATAGATATCAGAGGAATATATAGATTAGAGGAATATATAGATTTCATAGGATTATTTAGATTAGAGGGATAAATAGATATCAGAGGAATATATAGATTAAAGGGATATATAGATATCAGAGGAATATATAGATTAGAGGAAAATAAAGATATCAGAGGATTATATAGATTAGAGGGATATATAGATATCAGAGGATTATTTAGATTAGAGGGATAAATAGATATCAGAGGAATATATAGATTAAAGGGATATATAGATATCAGAGGAATATATAGATTAGAGGAAAATAAAGATATCAGAGGATTATATAGATTAGAGGGATATATAGATATCAGAGGAATATATAGATTAGAGGGATATATAGATATCAGAGGAATATATAGATTAGAGGGATATATAGATATCAGAGGAATATATAGATTAGAGGGATATCAGAGGAATATAAAGATTAGAGGAATATATAGATATCAGAAGATTATATAGATTAGAGGGATATATAGATATCAGAGGAATATATAGATTAGAGTAATATATAGATTCGAGGAATATGTAGATATCAGAGGAATATATAGATCTGAGAAATATATAGATCAGAGGAATATATAGATATCAGAATAATATATAGATTAGAGGAGTATATAGATATCAGAGGATTATATAGATTAGAGGGATATATAGATATCAGAGGAATATATAGATTAGAGGAATATATAGATATCAGAGGAATATATAGATATCAGAATAATATTTAGATATCAGAATAATATATAGATCAGAGGAATATATAGATATCAGAAGAATATATAGATCAGAGGAATATATAGATATCAGAGGAATATATAGATCAGAGGAATATATAGATATCAGAGGAATATATAGATATCAGAATAATAATACAAATTTTGCGCATCATTGCGGTAAACTTTAAAAAACTATAATTAACATATTAACATATTTTCACTATTATTAAAGGGAATATTTAACAAATCTTGTTCAAACTTTTCTAAAATTGAATTTTAAGTTTTTGCGCATTTACACCCTAAATGTTATATTGTTTACTCACAGGTAACACTGTAGTTTGTAAAACAAGCGAGATGACCAGCGTAACAGCCTGGAAACTCGCGCAGATCTGCAAACAGGTTCAATCAATCATTCAATTAATTAATCCATCAATCAAATAACCAATCAATCAATCAATCAATTAACCAACACATCGATTTATAACTCAGTGAATTGATCAACTAATCAATCAATCAATTAGGCCATCAATGGTGTAAATTAAATTAACCAAATAAACAATCAATCAACCAGCCCATCAATCTATAAGTAAATAAAAAAAATCAAAATTCAATCAATTAATAAATTCATTAATCAATTATTTAGCAAATAAAGCAATCAATCATTTTATCAATCATTTTTTCATTTAATAAATCAATCATTCAGTCAATAAGCAAATAAATCAATTGATAAATCAATTTATCATTTCATCATTTAATTGTTTTGATAATTATAAATATAAAGATGAGAGATAACTGTGAAAGAAGAATTATAAAGTTGTTAAATTAACTCTAGAAAAGTGAGAGACCCTCAAGTATTTAATTATCAGAACTACAACCCTTGTTTTCCTTTAATGTTTTTAATTATTATATATTTCCGTTGAAATAATGAAGATGTAACAATAAAACTAGTAAAGGGTATACTCAATAAAATTATATAGTGTTAACAAATACATCTAATTATCTGAAATTCATGATTAGCATTAAGGAGATTATTCATTTGATGTCCCGTCCTGTGTTGCTGTCTTTGGTCTCTATACATGCTCTATCTGCCTTAAAGTCGCTTCTGTACTTTAAATAAAGAGCAGTACTATATGTAGGCTACTAGTAGAAGCACCGCCTTTAAATTATCTTTAGGTTGAACTTCCACCGGGAGTACTGAACATGGTGTTTGGATACGGACAGACGGCTGGGGAAGCACTGGTAACCCATCCAAAAGTAAGTTTGACAAAACCAAAATAAATCTCAGCTTTAAAACCTTGTGGCTGTAAGTTTTTCAAGGCTATTTGCGATTTAGATTTTAAAATTTTATATATTATGTGTACGCCAATGTACATAATTTTATATATTATATGTACGCCAATGTACATAATTGGCTGCTAGATTGTTCTAAATTCCAATAATCTGAAAAAATTATTAAATACTTCGGCAAAAAGTTTTTTTTCTATTCTTTACGTCAGACTATAGTAAATTGCTCTTAAGATTAAAATCTTATTTGTTTGCAATCATAACTCCTCACATCAAGGAACTTTTGAGAACTTTTTCAATTTCTAAAATATTTCTAATATATAACCGGATACATTTTTTTTCTTAAACTTCTTTATAATCCAAACTAAAGTAGCTACGAGGTTTCAAAACCATGCCAGTAATATCGCATTTAATTTTTCTAGTTTTCAGTGCACTGCGGTTGATATGTAACGACCAGTAGTTGAAAAAAATGTGCCCACGTCTTGAATAAATCGTTTCTTTTAATTGTGAAATTTGCCTTTTTTTCCCTTTCCCCCTAGATAAATAAAAAATTATAACCCCCTATTATTGAGTGGAATGCCGATTCACAAAGATACCATTTAACCATCTGTCGTAGCTAAAATGATAATGAAAGCCAGTTTTTTTACTAATTAAAGTGTACCGACTTGTAAATAAGGGTTTCCTTGAAATTTGTCCCTTTAAGGTTCGCATTGTTAGTTTCACAGGATCTACTGCTGTCGGTCAACATATAGGGTAAGCAGAAGAAAAAGTCAAAACACCAAATTTTGGAGATAAAAACTGTTTTGAAATTTTGTAGATTTTTTTTATGCCAACAATTTACGTCAAAATTATAGAAGTAAAAGAATGCAAAAAAGTGTAGTTTTTTTTAAATTGTTTTTTTTGAAAAATATAGATTTTCGAAAATGTTACAAATATTTTTTCTTTCGGTAGACGAATTGCAGCTCCTATGATGAAAAAACTAAGCCTGGAGCTTGGTGGAAAGAATGCCGCAGTGGTTTTTGACGATGCTGATCTTGAAAAATGCGCACAGGTGACATGAACTTATTTTCAAAGTTGTATTTAAAAAACCCCGATTAACTCTGATATGTAATTGTTTTGAACTAATAAGTGAAACTGATTTCTTACAGTATTTGATGCCTTGTCTTTCCTTCCAAGCAACAGCAAGTTTTTATTTTCAAGGGGATTGGAAGCTTAGTGTTGCACCTTTGTCAAGTAATAGACAAGATGGGATATAGTGAATCTGATGGGTATTACATTTGCACAGGCTGATCACAGTTAATGTGCAGTAGGACAGCGGAAGAAAGTAAGAAATAGATAAGTAGGAGAAAATAAGAGAGACTTTTACGGAGCCAGAGTTCCTAGAGTTTGCCCAAACCCGAAAGGAAAGGATTGGCGCAAGAAAGAGAGAGAGACGAATGAATATCTTCGATCAACAACCTTTCTTGGTTGCGTTCATATTGTCTATCTCAACTGGTAATCAACAGTCAAGATTAAGGAAAAATAGTATGTATAAGCAAGATCAGACCGCGTAAAACAAATGTTCACTATGGTATAAAGGCCACACCCATTAACATAATTTTTAATAATAAGACACGGCGCAACACAAAACGGTTGGAGTATATATCTTTTAATCAGCCTTGTGCAAAGCAAATTATAGAAAGACTTCGAAAACAAACTGTAATTGCAGGTTACTGATATATCGCATTTTTTTTTGCATGCGTTTGCTTATGCCCACAACCCTTATTTAAAATGAAATATTTTTTAAGTTAAAAAAGATTTTAAAGAAAAATATTTATAGAAATGAAGCTTGAATTGCCTTAAAACAATGCATTCGATTTTATCAATTATAAGAAACTAAGGCTTTAAACTCGCCGCGCCTATGACCTACAGATTCAAATTGGACAACATCCGAATGACCATCTTATACAGTGAAACCCTTAATAACGAATACATCGAAAGAATTCATCAAATGTCGTATTCTTCACTTTCTGCTAATGGAATATTGCAGATATTTAGTTTTGTAATTAAATGATTATATGGAACTCTTTAAAACTGTTCCCGCATATTCATGGCTATTTATTTATTTTCGCAAATACTAAAATTTACGTAAAATAGTATAAACTCATTTAAAAAATGTCAAGACGACATTTGATAAATTCTTCCGATGTATTCTTTATTAAGGGTTTCACTGTACCATAGTCATTCTGTTTAGCATGAAAAGATGGAAAAAGGTATTTCGAAAAAATATTCTTCTTTTAAATTCCAGGGATGGAATTTGATGAACTAGAGAAAGGTCGCTGAACTCTCTTCCGTCAAATCATGAATCACTGCTCAAAGTTAAATATTCATGAAAATTTAAATCAGTGATCTAGAATTTGAATCGCTGATTTAGAATTTGAATCGGTGATTTACAATTTGAATCGGTGATTTAGAATTTGAATCGGTGATTTAGAATTTGAATCGTTGATAGGGTTATAGTTCAGTAATATCTCCAATTCATAAAATTCCGTCTTAGAAGTTTTGCTAGGGGATATTTTAAATGCCAAAAAATGGGAAGGATATGGGATATTTTTATTTTTTTTTTATATTTTTTTTAATGATATTTGATTTGTCGGGAACCCGCATTTATTCTCTCTCTTGTGTATTGGCTTCATTTAGTTCTAAGCACATGGTACTATCAGAGAAATGATTGGTTGGAAAAATAAATATCATAAAAAATAGAAAATAATGATCTAAATAATACTTTTTATATAGTTCATTCTTAAACACCGTACACGTAATATAATCTAAGTATACTGGGGGAACTTTACAACTGTGGAAGAAGAAGACTGTTAAACTCAAATTCAATTTATAATCCTAAATATAACATAAATATAATCAATGAAAACGGCAATGTTCACAAAATCAGTTAATTTACTCCGAGAAACATAAAAATTTGACTGGTACATCAGATATTCCCATTTAATTCGTGTGATTTCAAATCTCTTTAACACAAAAAGAATCTGCATGGGGTATTATCTTAAAGGAGGTTTCGTAATTTGAGAACCTTCCATATACAGACAATTTGCACTCTAAACCCAACTTTTTTATACTACTAGAGAAATCTTTATATTAACCTTAAGTTCCGAAGGGTCAATTAAAATAGCGTCAGAAATTTGAAGTACAATGAGAACTAGAAAACAATGAAATTATTGTCGTCTTTCTTCTTTTAAATGGACTGAAGCGCAATTTGTATTTACCATTTACCATGCAAATATTGCAATGCCGGATTCACAATGGAACCCTTGAAACCTTTCTCTGATCAATCGTTTTTCCGTCTTATAAACTGTTAAACTCCGATAATTCCTATAAAATGTCCTGCAGTAGAAATGCGTGAATCTTTTTTGCAGAAAACTCGAACAATTGAAAATATCAAGTTTTCAAATTTCTAATTTATACTTTATCTGCGATAGCTTTTAAGGGTACAGTTGTGAATCGGGCCATTTTTGTGTGTACGATCACTTGAAATTACGCTTACAGATCCTTTAGTTACTAACTGTCGCTATGAATTTTTTATTTGTAACTGAGTTATTTGTAATAAAATAACTCAGTTACAGTTACAGTTATATATGTTGCAAATCACAAAATAATCCTTAGCGATATTTCATAGATTAATAACAATACAGATAGAACACTAGGTGTCGTCTTTTCAAAATTTACGAAAAACCCCTAAATCTTGAAAAGACGACATCTAGTGTTTTATCTGTATTGTTATTAATCTATGCTGTAAATCAAAAGATGATTTATATTAATAGGGTCTTGTTAGATCTGCGTTTTTAAATCAAGGAGAGATTTGTCTATGTACCAGCAGAGTTTTTATACAGAAGGTAATTTTTTTTTCTACAATTATAAATTTATTTTTATTTCATTCTCTTTTCTTCTTTCATTGTAACAACAACATGATGTGCAAAAATAAAACAACTTTCTGATCTTTTAGAAATATTTATCGTTATTATAAAAATTTCATTCTGTAAATCCTTTTTGAAAAATACAGAAGATTACAGTTCATAATTTGTCAAATAACTTTTTTAACTTGTCTTAATTTTCCGCAATTGTTCAATACTTTAGTTGTTATTCATTCACACTTTTCTTTAAATTACTTTTCATTAAAAATATATTGTAGGGTGTATACAACAAGGTACTGGAGAGGTTTATACAATTAACCAATATATTGTAGGGTGTATACAACAAGGTACTGGAGAGGTTTATACAATTAACCAATATATTGTAGGGTGTATACAACAAGGTACTGGAGAGGTTTATACAATTAACCAATGAGCTGAAAACTGGAGATCCAACACAAGCTGATAATTTCCTCGGAGCAGTTAACAGGTTGGGAAATTAAAAAAAAACATTTGAAAAATATAGGAATCAAGGCTCATAAAACTGAGTAATAGGAAGACGACTTTGAGATCCAATTTATGATTTTAAATGGTTCAATAACTGTTTATGAACACAGCTAAATTTCCATTTAAAATTTGATTTAAAATCTGTTTTCAATACTTTTGCTTTACACATCAAATATTACAATATATATTTCTTAAATATCGTCTTCACGTTCTAAAGTCTGTCTAATTCCACTGTAGAAAAAATGTATTTTAAAAATATATCTGAAATTAAATGTAAAAGGATCGAGTCTTTGCCACAAACTCTGAACTTCTAATCCCTTTATCGTTGCAACCCAATGTGCGTAGACGTTAGATATTTAAAACTACTATTTGTGTTTGATCAAATAATCTAAGTTTGAAAAATCAAATGTTTACACCATCAGATTAAGAAAATATAGGGATTAGAAGATTCAAATCTCAATTCCAATTTACCCTGGCAAATAAAGTGTGTGTATGTACAATATGTTTTTCCATTATAAAAAGTTGGGTTTTTTGTTTATTATTCTGAGATATTTATTTTTAGTAAGGTTCACTATGAGAAAGTGATGAAGTATATAAAGCTCTCTGTAGAAGAGGGAGGAACTATCAGGACCGGGGAGGGGGTCTCAAAGTAAGTTTTTTTATCTTTAAAAACTTTTTGTTAAATCTTTTAAATTAGACAGTAAGATATGGTCTCACTCCTTTCGACTGACTTTAAAGTTTCTTTAAGGCTTTTTGTCTTTAATTTGACATTCTTAACCAACAGTTTTATAGCCCTGAATCTTTTTAATTACACTTAATAACATGCGTTATCTGTGTGCGTCTTAAAGTTGGGGTTAGGTTTATTTCAATTTTGTTTTCAGCTATAACAAACATTTTTCCTAGAATTTTCTATTTTTTAGGATAAAATCCGTGTACCAATTAAACATTATAGCACCGTATACTATATAATACTAGCTTGGGAAATCAGCTAAATGTTTGCTATAAAAGTCGACCCAATCAACTTAGAATCTCAAAACCAAGCTAAGAACATTCCAGTGGGTCTCCCGAGATCCACAATCAAAATTTTAGGGAAATTGGACCAGGGGTTCCTATATATATATATATATATTTATATCTAAATATATACAATAATCATAACTTATTTTGAATTGAATATGATATGATCAATCTTACAAAATTATCTCAGCAAAATGTTTTAAAATCCATCCTTTAATTACGTTTACAATTTTCTTTTTTAACTTTTAAAATAAAGGATTGTTTTTTTCTCATTTCAGGTTGGATTTGTCAGAGAAGAATAGAAAGGGATGGTTTGTACAGCCAACCATTATTACTGGACTCTCAGACCAATCAAGGTAAATGTATGCTCGTCTTTCATCTGCGCGGCATTAATTCGTGAACACAAAACTTTTAAATGATGTAGTGGGCTAACAGATAAAAATACTTTTCGCACTTTATTGATTTTTTTTTGTGCATGAGCAAAAGGAATGTACTTAATCCGTTATGCCAGAAAGGATTCGGATTGTGTTTTCTGTGCTATGATAACTCATGAAAAGGAGTGAGACATCGAGACTGCTCACCAGTGCAAGGTTGAAGATGTCCTGCATTGTAGACAGGTTCCTGAACAAGAAAAGGTTAGAAAATGCAACCTAGTAAACAATCTTGTCCGCAATGGTGATGAAATGATCTCAATACAGTGCTAGGAGGTACACAAAGAAAAAGGTTGGGATGAACCTAGACAGCCATGTAAACAGGTTCCCGAGGAAAAGGTTGGGATGAACCTACTCCAGTATACCAGAATATTCCCAAGATGGTTTGCCAGAATGTTCAAAAGGAAAAATCTTTGGACAAGTCTAGACAAGAATGACATGATAGGCCAAGAGAAGAGTTACACGAGGTTCTCAGAGGGTATACTGACAAGGTATCTGTACAAGAATACAAGTCTGTCAATGTTCCTGTACGCAGCCCTGTACACCATGTATCATGCAGGGAATGTTACAGGACAGATTCCTTAATTGGTTCCTAGACAGAAATGTTCCAGTAAGTCATGAAAGGTCTGTCATCAGGTTCCAAAGGAGGTCTACAACAGTGTGCCCAGGAAGTAATGTACTCAATAATGGAATATATGAAGATGTGGAGTTGCTGGAAATAAGGAAGTATGTTGAAAATGAGAGAGAAATAGCCTTTTTTCAAACTCCCCCAGTTTTAGCAAATATGAGGCCCCATAGTGAATTATGTTGTACATTGTCCATATAGCTAAATGTGTCCATAAGTAAATACGTAAATCATTCAACTCATTCAATGTACATAGATATATATAACTTCGTCATACCCATATTGTGATTGCTTAACTACGTTATATATAACAGCGCATAACTTAAAATTACGCTGTTAAAGACCCAATTCATATCTAAACTGAAGAAATATACCTTAGTTGATATAGAAACTCCGCTTTGATTACAGTGTTGAGAGTAATTATGGTTTTGACGTTGATATGTACAAATTGAGATTGTTGCCTCAAGTATTGGTTTGATAAATAGATTTCTATTGTCTGGTTGACATAGCTAACCAAATTGCACGCAGTGGTATTAGTGGCGTTGATAGTTCATGGGATTGGAGCCATGTGGATCGTGTCCTTTTTAAGACATCAATTGATTGCTAGTGTCCATATTGACACCGATAGCTAACGAGATCGCGCAAAGTGGTAGTGGCGTTGATAGTTCACGGGATTGTAGCCGTGTTTTGACATTGAAATTCAAGAGAATTTTAGTTATACCTGGATAGATACGTGTTCGTGAAAATTGTTATAGAGTAGGCGTTTACTACATTCATATTGAATTTGTTTGTTTTAAGAGTGTTATAGTTTTTGTGCATTTCCACTAAGTTCTCATTTCCTTTAATATAATACTGTATAATATATAGAGTTTATACTATTTAATGCAAGTATAGAGTGCAGATTATAATTACCAGGCGTTGACCTTGTAAAGTATATATTACAACAAATCTAAATATACATATATATATATATAAAGGGTGTCCAAAAAAATCGTTATGGTAACTAAGGTCTCAACTCTCAATTTTGAACTAATATTGACGATTTTGAACATTTTTGGTATCTACAATACAATTCTGATCGAATGGTGTAATTTAGATCAGAGCCTGTATCTGCATCTGTATCTTTATCTGTATCTATATCTATATCTGTATCTGTATCTGTATCTGTATCTGTATCTGTATCTGTATCTGTATCTGTATCTGTATCTGTATCTGTATCTGTATCTGTATCTGTATCTGTATCTGTATCTGTATCTGTATCTGTATCTGTATCTGTATCTGTATCTGTATCTGTATCTGTATCTGTATCTGTATCTGTATCTGTATCTGTATCTGTATCTGTATCTGTATCTGTATCTGTATCTGTATCTGTATCTGTATCTGTATCTGTATCTGTATCTGTATCTGTATCTGTATCTGTATCTGTATCTGTATCTGTATCTGTATCTGTATCTGTATCTGTATCTGTATCTGTATCTGTATCTGTATCTGTATCTGTATCTGTATCTGTATCTNTATGATCATTATAATTAGTCTTGTTATTACTATCATTAGTATCAGTGTTATCATTTTCATCATTCTTATAGTGTTCATTATTATTATTATGATCATTATGATTAGTCTTGTTATTACTATCATTAGTATCAGTGTTATTATTTTCATCATTCTTATAGTGTTCATTATTATTATTATGATCATTATAATTAGTCTTGTTATTACTATCATTAGTATCAGTGTTATTATTTTCATCATTCTTATAGTGTTCATTATTATTATTATCATCATTATAATTAGTCTTGTTATTACTATCATTATTATCAGTGTTATCATTTTCATCATTCTTATAGTGTTCATTATTATTAATATCATCATTAAAATTAGTCTTGTTATTACTATCATTATTATCAGTGTTATTATTTTCATCATTCTTATAGTGTTCATTATTATTAATATCATCATCATAATTAGTCTTGTTATTACTATCATTATTATCATTATTTTCACTATTATCATTATTATCATTATTATCATTACTATCAGTATTATCAGTATTATTATTATTTTTATTATTTTCATTATTATCAGTCTTGTTATTATTCTAGCAATATTACCAGTGTTTTATTATTGTGATTTTTATCTTTATTATTATTATTATTATGATTATTATTATTCTTATTATAATCATTATTTTTGATATTAGTATTATTGTCATTATTACATTAATATCATCATTATCATTATTATTATTTTTATCGTTATTATTAGTGTTGTCATTATTATCATTTTCATCATTGTTATCATTATTGTCATTATATCAATGTTGTCATTCTTATCAATGGTGTCAAATTTTCACTATCTAAAAATTTTCGTTGTTGTCTTTAGTGTCGTTATTTTTTTAATTAAATTTGTGCAAAACCTTTAAAATCATAAATATATTATCAACTAACCGTGAAATTGACAAAGATGTAGCCAAAAAGAGAATTATCTACAGTAACAATCCAATTTAGAAATACATCGGTATAGTTGAACTCACAAAACCATGTACGTACACTGTACACTGTACAGGTATGGTCTGTGTGCTAGTGTATGGTCAAGTAACCTAGGCCGGGTTCACCGGCTCGGAGAGGAACTTGAAGTTGGAACGGTTTGGGCAAACTGCTGGTTAATCAGGTAGAAATACAGGAGTTAAAATTTTAGAAACTGTAGGAGTAATTTCAACTAATTTTTACTCAAAAATTGTAGCATGTCCGATTCAAAACCGTCCCCTATAACTCTCTAACAAAATGAAGATTCTAACCCGGCTTTCAATTATGGTTCTCTTTAAACTTGACTAGCGGATTTAAAGGCAGCAGAAAAAAATTAAAAAAATTTTATTTCAGAAAGAAAGGACACGAAATCTTAACCATTGATAATTCTTTATAAAGGGTAAAAGGTTAAATTCAAATTTAAAATTAGAGTGTACTTCCATTCGAATAAATGTTGCAAGCTCTCAAGCAAAAATCAATAAGAGTTTTGCCAATTACTTTTTAAAAACCAAAGTTAATAACACGTGCTTTATAGTGCGTGCTAAAATGAACATGCATAAGGCTACAGAAAGCATTAGTGAGTTAGATTGGTAAAGTCAATGCCAAAGGCGTGGCGACACTTCAATGTCGACCCTGTCTTAAAAAATGATGAGACTTTTTATAAGCAGGGTGAATCTATGTGCTGTGATTTTTTTAATTTCTCAATTTCCCCGCCGTTCGATTTATTTTCATTTTTGTTTAAGATGCCTGGAGATGCCCTTTGGTGGGTGTAAAGAATCTGGTAGCGGACGGGAAGGGACTGTTCACTCCCTTGAAGCGTTTACACAAGAAACAACAGTCTGTATAAAATACAAGGATTAAACTCAGCAGGGAAATTTAAACTGTTTTGGTGTCAGAATATACTCACGTTTCACAACTTTTAAATGAATAAATAAAAAGATCACCCCCCCCCCAAAAGAAAAAAAGATTTAGCATTAATACTTTTATAGTTGTAAACGTTCAATGTGTTTTAAAGATATTTTATTAAAAAATAAAATATTCCATTAATCTTTAACAAATGTATTTTATTTTATTTATTACTCATACTCTGCAGACTGTATAATCAAACTATGTAATTAAAACTTGTTATCTAATCCAAGTTTAATGTTAACGGCGCATTTTAAAGGAATTCAGTCTTTACCATAAATCTTGATTTTCTAATCCCTATATCATAGCAACCAAATGTCGTAGACCTTAGATATTTAGAACTATGAATTCTATTGGATCAAATAATCTTAGTTTCGAATATCAAAGGTTTAGAAAATTAGGTTGCAAAAATTAGGAAGCAAAAAATATATGGATTAGAATAGTTAATTTTGTTCCGAAGACTAATTTCCTTTCTGTAATATATGTTTTTTTATTGTGCATTTATATATTAAAATTAATTATGAAAAAAAAAAAAATTAAATTCTATTAAATCAAACTTTAATTTGTTTAGAGGATTTCAAAACAGTTTTTCAAAATGGTAGAAAAGTTTTGTTGAGAATAAACGTTTAATTTGTTTAACATTTTAATAGTTTTGTTGTTTAAGTTGAATGCATAAAATGTTTTCCAAGTAGCAATTTCAAACTTAGAATTGCTAAATGGGCAAAAATACTTGAAATACCACTCAGTACAACTATTCTTATTATGAATGAATAATGGGTCTAGGGTTTACGTGTCCATATTTTAAGCTAAAATGTTCACTATCAAATATAGGGTCTTTAGGGTTTTTGAACTTGATCTTAAAATTAAGAATATGGCGTTAATCAATGATGGTATAGAAACAGATTCACTTTGAGTTGAAAATATTTCATGTAAGGCCATATAAAGCAAATCAAGTTTTTAAAATCTCGCCTGAATTTACTGTGTAATCTTGAGAAATATTCTTTACACACAACAAAATTTGATAAATACATGTTCTAAATATCCTTAACAGTTAAGAATCTCAATATATTATTTATTTTAAGCTTTCTTTACCCAAACTGCAGGACAGAATACTGAAAAATTTGCATAAATGAGTAAGATACAAAGGGAAATTCCATATTTTTTGTTTATTTCTGCAGCTCAAAATCTTGAATTTCAGCTTTGAAAATCTGCTGTATCTTACTCAAATCGGAGAGTTTAACATTTACTTAAGTACAAATAATTTGAAAGGGAACTGAGTTTTTGTCACAAACTCTGATTTTCTTATCACTATAACATTGCATTTAATCGTCGAAAACCTTAGATATTTCAAACTATGAATCATTTTAGATCAAATCATGATAGTTTGAAATATCAAAGATTTACACAATCAGGTTGAAAAGATATGGCGATTGTAAAATCATATTTTGTGGCAAAAACTCAGTTCCTTTCCCTTTCCTCTATTTACATGTCACCTTCGGCCTCCCCCCCCCCCCCCCCCCCCATTTCCTTGGGGGTATAAGGGGGGGGGGGCATAAACATTGTGTATGTCCCCCATCTTTCGACGATTATACAAAAATTTCTTGAATTTCCAGTTACATACATATTTTGGAAACCCTAAAACTCAAACTCATCGGTATTATTGTCGTACTCGTCCTTTCTTTCACATAGATTTTGTATAAACTTGTCACTGCAAGTTCTGAAATGTGCCCTGAGGTTGAAAAACTCTTGTATTGTGGATGTTGTGGATAAGATTAATTTAAACTTTTGTCAATATCCCGTGAAGGTTGAATTGAAGGTGAATCTGAATGGCAACTACCCTTACTCCCCCAAATACCTTCAGTTTTTAAAGAGACCGCATCCCCACTCTTTGATTATTCTTTGCGCATGGTATACAAAATGGGTATCGGTTCTCATTGAATCAATAGTTTTGAGCTTGTTTCTGGCATTCAAAACACTCTCCGACCTTTACTATCCTTACCACCCATCTTCTGAAGGGTGCACATTTCATAGTCGAAAAAAAGGCATTCATTTTATACGTTCACTAAAGATTGTCGATGGAAAACGAACAGCCGATCAGAAACCAGAGAATTTCGCTCTTAGTCTTAACCATTGAGAGAACAGAGAAATTGCAGATGTTCAAAAGCAAAATTTAAAAAATTAAAAATGCCCATTGTAAATATCAAGATCAAGGGATATGGTTTAGACTTGTATAGAGAAATGAGCCAATCTATCGCCTTCTGGGTATCTGTTGCAGAAAACATTTTTAAAAGATTTTATACCAACTTTGTTAAAAAAATGTCTGACAGACAGAAGAAAAACTAAATCCAAAAAAAGCCTGTGAGTTCATGGTTGCATGAGCCATTCATAATGTCTTTTTTTAAATAGTATTTTAATTACTGTTTCTCTATAAAATTAATTTGCGAATTTTATGATACATAAACAATGGAGTATACCGTGAGAATTTGACAATTTTAAAAGTAGAAAATTGACGATATCTTCCATATTATTGACTGAAAAATCTCTAAGAAAATGAGTTATATATATTTCAATATTGCTAACTACCTTGAAGAGTTATGTCAGCATGTATGCCTTGTGAATACAATACCTATTGTTTATCAGGTGTTAGGACTCTAGCAGTAAACTACCTGTATACAAAAATATGACATAGTCAAACATATTAACAATTTTTTCGATTGCTTTTAAAACCATATTAAACTTAATTTGATAGTAATAAGTTGATATAAACTATATCTTAAAAATAGAAAATTTTACCACTCCCACCTATTTCTCCTCTATGAATGAACATTGATGATTCACTCAAGGACTTCAGAGTTTCAACACTACAGTGAGTAGAATGGATGTGCCTTACTACAAACAGTATTATGTAAGTTAAATAAAGAAATGTACTTAAAAAGTCTGTAGACGTAATTTCAAGTAACCCTTTCTTTTAGATTCAAAAGAATATTAGAAAATATAATTATAATTATATATTAGAATATTTTGTTTTATCAAAATCACAAAACATTTTTAAGAAAACGATTTTTTAAATGTCCCTTACATTTTGTTAATAATTTGGAACTACATATTTAAAATTTTTTGTTCAGAGTTCTTTTAGTAGTGTGTAATTCAGGAGAATACTGTGCGAGGAGTCATCAGTAGCGCTGTGCTTGCATCCTTCTTTATAATTATCTGCATCATTAATAGATTTAGGTCAAATATAATTATCTGCATCATTAATAGATTCAGGTCAAATACAATTATCTGCATCATTAATAGATTCAGGTCAAATATAATTATCTGCATCATTAATAGATTCAGGTCAAATATAATTATCTGTATTATTAATAGATTCAGGTCAAATATAATTATCTGTATTATTAATAGATTCAGGTCAAATATAATAATCTTTAGTATTAATAGATTTAGGTCAAATATAATTATGGCTGTATTATTAATAGATTCATGTCAAATATAATTATCTGTATAATTAACAGATTCGGGTCAAATATAATTATCTGTATTATTTATAGATTCAAGTCAAATATAATTATCTGTATCATTAATTGATTCAGGTCAGATATAATTGTCTGTATTATTAATAGATTCAGGTCAAATAAAATTATCTGTATTATTAATAGATTCAGGTCAAATATAATTGTCTTTAGTATTAATATATTCAGTTTGAATACAATTATAGCTGTATAATTAATAGATTCAGGTCAAATATAATTATCTGTATTATTAATATATTCAGGTCAAATATAATTGTCTTTAGTATTAATAGTTTCAGTTTGAATACAATTATAGCTGCATAATTAATAGGTTCATGTCAAATACAATTATCTTCAGTATTAATAGATTCGGGTCAAATATAATTATCTGTATTATTACTAGATTCAGGTCAAATATAATTATCTGTATTATTAATAGATTAAGGTCAAATATAATTATCTGTATTATTAATAGATTCAGGTCAAATATGATTATCTGTTTTATTAATAGATTCAGGTCAAATACAATTATCTGTATTATTAATAGATTCAGGTAAAATATAATTGTCTATAGTATTAACAGATTCAGTTTGAATACAATTATAGCTGTATAATTAATAGATTCAGGTCAAATATAATTATCTGTATTATTAATAGATTCAGGTCAAATATAATTATCTGTATTATTAATAGATTCAGGTCAAATATAATTATCTGTATCATTAATTGATTCAGGTCAGATATAATTATCTGTATTATTAATAGATTCAGGTCAAATATAATTATCTGTATTATTAAAAGATTCAGGTCAAATAAAATTATCTGTATCATTAAGAGATTCAGGTCAAATATAATTATCTATATTATTAATAGATTCAGGTCAAATATAATTGTCTTTAGTATTAATAGATTCAGTTTGAATACAATTATAGCTGTATAATTATAGATTCAAGTCAAATATAATTATCTGTATTATTAATAGATTCAGGTCAAATATAATTGTCTTTAGTATTAATATATTCAGTTTGAATACAATTATAGCTGTATAATTAATAGATTTAGGTCAAACTCTGAAAAATTTGATTTCTACTATTCCTGTTTTCTTTTATTCATCCTACTTTATACTTTTCTTTTTTATTTATTTTTTATTTTCCGAGAATACCTTAATAACTGTTCAAATTCTAGTTTCACTGAGTCTGCAAATTGGAAATAAAGTGATTAAATATTGTACTTCAATATTCTATTAAAATTACATCCAACTTATTTCTTAAAAGGAATGTATCCGATGTATATGTAAAGTGACCTTCCAATTAAAGAATGCCATGTTCGATTCCCATTCACCAACCAAAATTCCGGTTTAAAAAATAGAATGTTAAAATCCAACATCTTTCAGAAATATTTCAATATATCAATACTAAGGCCTTGACCTTCTCTTCTGTACAATTTTTATTTTAAGAAAATTTTATCGATGTAAAAAATCCTTCTTATAGCTTTACATTACAAATTACAATTCTCCTTGAAAACTGTTAACAATCCCTTTACAGATGGAAGGAGGAAGATAATGAATCTGTTTATGAATATGATCTCCCGGGCTCTAGTAAGGTAATTATCCTAGATTAATGGTAATACTCACTATATTTCATAGTCTCTACCAATACATACCTGGTCTATAGTAAAGGATCTAATTTATTGCCTCAAACTCTAATTTTCTCTTTACTTTATATAATTTTCTAACTTCATGCTGTACAGTGTATAGTGTATATATCTTTGATTATTTTTAACTTTGACTTTTTGATCTAGTGGCGTCTATTACTTAGAATATATCTAAGGTCTACAAAAAAAAGGTATATCATTTGAGGTCCTACAAAAAATTCTGATCCGATCGGTTTAAGGACGAGAAAATTTTATGTTTGAGGAGAGTAATTAGTTAATTTAATTAAATATAATCAAATTAATTAATTAAGGAGAGTAATTAGTTAATTAATTAAAAATAGAACTTAAGGTGTAATTTAGAGTCATTTAAGACAACAACAACTGTTCCTTTGCATATTGTTTAAATTATGTCCTGCTAAAAAAAGAAAAAAAATACTTTGCATATACAGTCTGCTCTTTAATTTTAGGCCTTGGACCGACGGGTTGAGATTGAATCTGTTTCTCAAATCATCCTTCTTAATCAGTCAAACTCTGATTATAACTTAAACAAGGAGAAAACTGCTGAATCGACACCAGCTAAAACAGCTGAATCCAAATTGTACAAAACAGCTGAATCGGAACCAGCTAAAACAGCTGAATCCAGATCGGAGGAAACAGAAGAATCGACACGTGATATAACAGATCAACCAATATCCCAGAAAACAGCTGAATTAGACAAGCACCTAATGCACAGCGCTGAATCGAAAACAGAGTCAACTTCTGAATCAGAATATGAGCTAAAATCAGCACCTGAATCCATCTCAATTCTCGGAGAAAAAACTACAATTTTCACCAACCAAGGAGCAAACTATCAAATTCATTCTGAATTTGAGGGAAGCACTAGATTTGAAGAGTTGAGAATATTAGCTCCGCCCCCTACTCCTGCTAATGAATTAGACTTTCACTTTGGATACGATTCACATTCGGTTCCCGCCACTATTCACGAACATAAACATTTACCATGTTTAATTCATGAATATGAACCTACAAAATGTTCGATTCATGAACATGAACCAACACTCTACAGTTCCATTCATGAACATGAACCTACCCCCTCATATTTTAACCATGAGTTGGCAGCAAATAAAAGCAAAGTAAATCATGGTTTTGAAATTTAATCTACAATAAACTAAAATATATTCTTTCATGTTTCTGAAAATTAATTTATCAAATTCCTATTTTAAAAAATAGGTAATGAATGATATGTTAAAAATTAAACTGTTCAAATAAAGTATTTTTATATTCTTTTTAACCTGAAGCCACTTTAGAACAAAAATCGAGTTAGTTTTAGCGATAAAATATTTAAAAAAAATAATATTATTATCGTAAAATATTTGTAAAAGTTCTCAGATAGGAAATTTCATAAGTTTATATACTGTATAAATTTTCTCTATAGGAGACTTCAGAACATTTTTCGTGGATATTTCATAGAAGATTTTAATTAATAGAATATTTCATAGACAGGACAGTTCTTAATGTATAACTTTACATTTAATGAAATTTTCATGTGTTAATTGTCTATTATTTATTCTCAAATTAATACTTTGAATTTTTTTATCCTAACCCTTTTAAAAATGAAACAACTTTATTTGTAATTACATACATTTAAGCAAAAAATGAAACAAGTTTTATAAGAAAACGAAACAATGATATATTCTATTATTACGCTAATGAAGGTTTAAAGGGTGCACGCGTTATTGTAAAATAAAGGGTGGCTTGAAATTACGTCTTCCAGTCTCTTTAAGTTGAAACATAAATTCTAGCCTATTCCATTAAGTTTCTCTTCTGCCAAGACATATCTAATATATGCACTGAAATAACTTTAATTTGAGTCACATGGGAATTTGGAGGCATTTATTTCAGATGGAAAATTGTTTGACAACCATGGTACAATCGTTTTGTATTCCGTTTCCTGGACTTTAAAGGTGGTTCACAAAAGTGGTTTTCTGATTTTTTTACAGATATAATTTTAAACAGACACCCGAACAGAGATTACAACTTTATATATATATATATAGATGCCCAAGCGTTAACTAAGAATATCCTATTTTTACTATTGAAAAACGGTTGGAAATTTATTATACTTTCACTCTCTTTTATCATCTGATTTTGCAGCTGCATTTTTCCAATCATATATCTTTATAATAAAGCTCTTCGTTCATATTTGTATATTTGTATGTATCTTCTTAAAATAAGTCTAGAACATATTCTATTGTTTATTAAGATTGGTTATTGCTGGACACTGTGTTTCATCGTGACATTCTTCTTTCAGCAGTCCGGCTCAAGTTTTATTCTATAAACTGAACTTTTATATATCATACTTAAACATAACAAAAACATAATAGTAAAATTAAAAGCATTAAAGAACGATTTTTTAAAACTAAAACTTTTGAACATAGTATTGTCGGACAAATAAAACTGTGGAGCAGGATCGAATATTACTTTTTTGAAATATTATGTAAATATTATGTAAATATTATGTAAATATTATGTAAATATTATGTAAATATTATGTAAATTTTATGTTGCATAAAAACAAATATTAACTTATTAAGTTAAATTGGGTTGTATACACTGTACAATTGCTGTATCTCTCGTTGGACCATTTTAATTCAATACACTGAGTATTACCTGTCGTCTTTCTATTGACCAGTCTTTCTGTATGATTCTTATAAATGCGTAAAAAGAAAAAAGGTCCAAGAATAAATAAACATATTCCTCTTGGGAAATAAAAGTATGTTATAGGATTTTAAAACAAGCATAATGAAACTAAAAATATTCTAAAGAATTTTATGTGTAACATAACACCTTTATTTTTAATAGCTTGTTATAGCAACAACACGCGGCCTAGAATTGGTACTAACCTAACCAAACCCACAGATAGGAAGTAACATTGTATATGTGAATGAGGCTAAGAAAGTTAAACACAGAGAGACACATGAGCTGGATGAGCAGGATCTGATGGAGTATATTAACAAATACATGCAGATTATTTAAAAAATCTTTTTAGATGCTGCGGTTTTCAGCTACAAAACCACTCGGGGCTATGCCCAAAGTGGTTGCCCGCGCGAGCATAAAACATTGCACTATGCTAAGCAAACGTGCCGGTCAACCCAATTTTTTTCTCGTTCTGTCTATTCTAAACTTTCTCGTTCTGTCTATTCTAAACTATCTCATTCTGCCTATTCTAAACTATCTCGTTCTGTCTCTTCTAAACTATCTCGTACTGTCTATTATAAACTATCTCGTTCTGCCAATTCTAAAATGTGCTGAAACTTGACTGAAACTTATCAATTTTGGTCAATTTGCGTAAAAATATAATTTTTTGTTTACAAATTTACGTTTTGAGCAATAATTCCGGTTTTGCGTAAAGGGGATGGTGGAGTTGGCACATTTGATGTAGGGGGGGACACAATCCCCTTTCGCAAAAAAAACGTACTGCGCTTCTGACGCAAAAGATGCGCAAAACATATGGTAATTTCAATGAAACCCTACCTCCAGTATATTAGGAGATCTCAGAAAGACCAAAAATCTCAAAAATCATGAAATTTATATTTTTCACTCTGTCGAAAATTGTTCAAAAATAATTTTTTTGTTGAAAATGAATCTTATTTAGTTGGACTCTATCGGAAAAAAGATTATGGTATTAAAAACACACAAATAAGGAAAAATACCTAACATGCAAACATTTACCTAATTTTTAATGTTATAAAAGCTTTATATGATCCAAAATGTGAAAGATAGATTTAATAGTCACAAGTCACATTTGCAGAGAAACCACGATAAAAGTAAAATAAGTTTTTAAAATTCAAAACGTTTATATCTAATTCATACTTGACCTGCAACATTTCTCGGAAAATCATTTTGCAGAAAAAAATATTATAACATCGAATTCATAAAAACACAGGTTTTGTCCACAGCTTCCTAATAAAATTTACCAGGCTATTGCAAATTATCTGTTACAGCGCGTTACAGAATTAAATGTCAAGAATGGAAAGAAAACAAATGCGAATCAGCAAGTTAAACCCAAAGGCCCAGGCGTCACAAAACTTCCAAGATGACCCGGTCTTGAGAATTGATATATAATTTTTTTAAATGTCTGGTTTCTCTGTTTTTTTAATGCATCTTGTTCTTTCCATGGACCAGTTGGAACTTTTATACAAAGTTATATAAAGTATATAAAGTATTAAGTTTATACGTGACTAGATTGCAAGCTGGGACTTTAGATCACAATCTGAAAACAATATTTTTTCAGTTTTAAGTTTTTACAACTCCCATTCCCATAGGGTTGCAGAACTCAGCGCGGATGAAATCATATTTACTACTGGAAAGCCTACAATTTTCTGTTTTCAATAATTCGAATATTAATCGATAAATTTTAAAACTTCTAGAAAGTAAATTTTAATATTCCTCAAATGTAAAAACAGCTTCTCATTCCCAAAGTGTGGTGGCATACATCTTTTAATTCCAATATATGGCAGTGGCACACAGCTTCCCTTTCCAATAGGGCAGGGGCATACAACTCCCCATTCCCATAGGGTGGTGGCACACAGCTTTCGATTCCCATTGTATGGCAAAGGCACACAGCTTCCCAGTCCCTTAGAACACGGTAATACCACTCCCCATTCCCAAAGGGTGGCATGGCATACAGCTTCTTATTTCCATAGTGTGTTGGCATATATCTTTATATTCCCATAGGGTCGTGGCAAACAGCTTCCCATTCCCATAGTGTGTTGGCAAACATCTTTATTCCCATATATTGCAGGGGCACACAGCTTCCCTTTCCCATAGGGCAGGGGCATACAACTCCCCATTCCCATAGGGTGGTGGCATACAGCTTCTCATTCCCATAGTGTGGTGGCATACCTTTTTTATATTCGTATATTTTGCAAAGGCACACAGCTTCCCATTCCCATAAGGTGGTGGCACACAGCTTCCCATTCCCATATGGTGGTGGCATACAGCTAGCTCCCCATTCCAATTGGACAGGGGCATACAGATTCCTATTCCCATAAGGGCGAAACTTTAAAATCGATAGACTTTAGCATATATCTATCAATTTCTTTATAAATTCATACTATATAAATATTCTTAACGAAATCAGCTGATTAAACCAAATACTGTTTGTCCCACAGGAGTGATTCAATTACATTTAATATTATGATTTACAAGGAGGAATATAAATAGTGATTACCAACATTTTCTAGAATTTCATCAAAAACCTAAATTGCGTTTTATACGTTCTTTTATCAATATATTTTAATCAGAAAAAAATAACTGGACAAAAATAAAAATTATGATGTAATTTAAATTGATAAACGTGAGACCACAGAGGAAGTTTTAGACCGTATGAAAAGACCAAATTTATTAACTAACATAAGAGAAATTCCATACATTTTTGTTATTTTCAATGCAGTTTTTATAGAAATAGTAAACTGGAAAACATATAAAATGTTGAATCAGCGGGAAATACACTTTAATTTGACGTAATATATGATATATTTGGTTGATCAAAGATAATGATTTGAAGACTTCGTACCATGCAGTGGTTCCCATAAAACTTTGGAATAAGAAGATGACTTTGAAGCAACTTTTATGTTATGTTTTAACTAACCAAAAAATAAATTTGGTCTGTTCTTTGGGAAGGAAGGGAAGGCCGAAGGGAAAGGTTCAAACTGGATAAAATTTACTTTTATTAAAAGAAAATTTTCTCTAAGTTGCATTGATACAAAAATGTAAATACTTTGAAACCAATTTATTTTCTGCTTGCACTAAATCAGATATAAGTCCCTTAATAATGGTAGGTATGACGTCCATAGTCCCTTAGTGATGGTTTATGACGTCTACAGTTCCTTTAATGATGATAAATAATGTCAACAGTCCCTTTAAATGGTGGGTATGACGTCAACAGTCCCTTTAAATGGTGGGTATGAAGTCAACAGTCCCTTTAATGGGGGTATGACGTCAACAGTCCCTTTAATGGTGGATATGACGTCAACAGTCCCTTTAATAGTGGTATGAAGTCAACAGTCCCTTTAATGGGGATATGACTTCAACAGTCCCTTTAATGGTGGTATGAAGTCAACAGTCCCTTTAATGGTGGATATGACGTCAACAGTCCCTTTAATTGTGGGTATGACGTCAACAGT